ATATATATATATATATATATATATATATATATAAAGATCTTACTTGTGTAAAAATTAAAATAAATAACTTTTAGGTGAAAAGAGTCAAAAACATACATAAATAATGTAAAATTATAAAAATCAAACGAGTAATTATATATTTTAAAAATCTGGTGTAAAGAGCGAGATTTGTATAAATCTTATAAAAACTAATTAAAATCATATCATTGACTAAAAGGCAACATAATGTATCCTTGTCATGTCATGTCATTGATTAAAAAATATTAAAATTGATCTGGTAGAAAATTGATATAATTAATCATAAATTTTTAAGTTGAAATTTTAGTATAATTATTATAATTTGATTAATTTTGTTAAATAAAAAATATATAATATCCTCATCATATTCAATAACACGTGGAACATAAAATTTGTAAGATAGGAACTTGAGTCAATCTGAATTGAATAGACTATAATATAAAAATAGATAAATTTTAATTAAACTTCTAAAAACTAATCAAAGAGAGGAAATTGCTCTAAGTCTTAAAATAATTATTTATAATTATTTTATTTTTAATCCATGCGAGATACTTTGATAAAAAAAAAGTATTCATAATCACTTATGTATTGTAACTTGTAAGTAAATTTTGTCATGGATTGAAACGTGAAAAAATCAACATTGTGTGTGCATTTGTCTAAAACAACGAAACATAATTGATGATGTTTATTTAATCAATTATATATATATATATATATATATATATATATATATATTTTTTAAATAATATAATTTAAAAAACTTAACTTCCACTTTTTTTATCCCGATGTAATTTTCTTTCCTTTACTTATTTCTTTGATTTATTTTTTCCTTTATTTGTTACATAAAATATTTATTTTAGTCTTTTATTTTTTATATTTTAATTGATTTGATCTTTCTAAATTAAGATTATTTTCAATTTTGTAACATAATTTTAAATTGATTTAACACATAAAATTTGTAACATTAGATTTATTTACATGAAAAAAATAAAATTGAATTGATTTTAAATCTAAAAAGACTATAAATATAGTGAATACTTTTACAAATAACTAGAAAATAATATAAAATTATATATTTTTTTAAATTTCAATTTCTTTTAAGATTTACTTTTACACAATTTTTACCATATTTATTGTTATTGCCACTTTTTTATTTGAACTATATTTTTATTCAATAGTTTTTGTATGATTGAATCTAACAAAATGAGATTTAAGTCTTAAGTCAATAAAAAAATGATTTGAAATCGTGTCTTAAAAACAAAAATAATCATTATTAATGAATTAAACCAACTCAAAATTAAAAAAATAAGAGATCAAAGTAAACATTTAAAAAATAAATAACTAAAATAAATTTTAAAAATAAGATAAAGGACCAGAAATATAATTTAACCTTTATCTTATATTTCTCTTCAACTAAATAAATTTTATTTATGTTCTTTTCACTTTTTTCACACACTTCCTTTCTGTTTATATACTTTTTACTAAATAAAGTCCTAAAGTTAGGGTTAACCATTTCAAAAGATAATGAATATTTAGTTTATTTATTTTTAAAAAAGTCTCTATAAAGCTCTTATTTTTAATAAAACAAGGTTTTTTTTTCTGTGTTTATTTAAATTTTTTTAAAAAAAATAAGTAATTTTTTTGTTATTTTTTTAGATGTAACTCTTGTTTATTTCTTAAAAGAATTGTTTTTTCTTTCTAAAATAACTTGTTTAGAAACATTTATTTTTAAGTTTAAACAAACAGATGCATTATTATTGGTTAAAAAGTATAATTGTTTACTTAGAAAACTGTATTAAATAATTTTCTATTTTTTATTTAATCAATTATATATATATATATATATATATATATATATATATAATTTTTAAATAATATAATTTAAAAAACTTAACTTCCACTTTTTTTATCCCGATGTAATTTTCTTTCCTTTACTTATTTCTTTGATTTATTTTTTCCTTTATTTGTTACATAAAATATTTATTTTAGTCTTTTATTTTTTATATTTTAATTGATTTGATCTTTCTAAATTAAGATTATTTTCAATTTTGTAACATAATTTTAAATTGATTTAACACATAAAATTTGTAACATTAGATTTATTTACATGAAAAAAATAAAATTGAATTGATTTTAAATCTAAAAAGACTATAAATATAGTGAATACTTTTACAAATAACTAGAAAATAATATAAAATTATATATTTTTTTAAATTTCAATTTCTTTTAAGATTTACTTTTACACAATTTTTACCATATTTATTGTTATTGCCACTTTTTTATTTGAACTATATTTTTATTCAATAGTTTTTGTATGATTGAATCTAACAAAATGAGATTTAAGTCTTAAGTCAATAAAAAAATGATTTGAAATCGTGTCTTAAAAACAAAAATAATCATTATTAATGAATTAAACCAACTCAAAATTAAAAAAATAAGAGATCAAAGTAAACATTTAAAAAATAAATAACTAAAATAAATTTTAAAAATAAGATAAAGGACCAGAAATATAATTTAACCTTTATCTTATATTTCTCTTCAACTAAATAAATTTTATTTATGTTCTTTTCACTTTTTTCACACACTTCCTTTCTGTTTATATACTTTTTACTAAATAAAGTCCTAAAGTTAGGGTTAACCATTTCAAAAGATAATGAATATTTAGTTTATTTATTTTTAAAAAAGTCTCTATAAAGCTCTTATTTTTAATAAAACAAGGTTTTTTTTTCTGTGTTTATTTAAATTTTTTTAAAAAAAATAAGTAATTTTTTTGTTATTTTTTTAGATGTAACTCTTGTTTATTTCTTAAAAGAATTGTTTTTTCTTTCTAAAATAACTTGTTTAGAAACATTTATTTTTAAGTTTAAACAAACAGATGCATTATTATTGGTTAAAAAGTATAATTGTTTACTTAGAAAACTGTATTAAATAATTTTCTATTTTTATACCACATATGCTGTCTTTTTTAAATAATTTTTTTATCGGTTATGTTTTTTTCAAAACAATTTATTTTTTTATTCAAATAATAGAAATAAAAAAAAAAGAAAAAAAAGCATAACATCCATTAGGGTTTTGGACATCACTTTCAGGACCAACTAATCTCTACTTGCTAAATGCAAAGTCAAACCAAAGTAGTTGCATCGTTTTATTGCCATATTGAAATAATTGTGTACAATTCCAACATTGCACACTAAAGAACAAAGATACAACTAATGCTGTGTTGTTAAAGGAGTGACATTTTATACTAGAGGATATAAATTCATGTCATTTTCATCGTAACCAACAAATATATATATATGAAGAGTGGCCAAACTCGTATCATTTCGTTACATAAAATCGCCATAATTATTTAGTTTCCACAATTTAATTAGTTTAAACCATAGTGTTACTGGTACAAATCTCAAGAAATATGAGGAAAATTTCAACAATGTTCACTGTTGCTATAAAGATAAGTTAAAACTGGTTGACTTGTGGAATGACTCATTCTAATTCTAACTCTAACTAAAAGTAAGTCATCATGAAGAAAATAAAAGTTGAATAAGAATAATTATGTTATATAAAAAAATATAATGTTACTTGTTAGTTTGAATATTTTAATAAATTAAACAGAGACTTTTTTTAACCATTAATTTACTGGAGTAAACAAAATGAGCTAGTTTCTTCAATATACCCCCAATTGATTTGGAGTTTGGTTAAAAATTAAAGTTGGATTAGGAGTTTTTCCTTTATTAATTCCTTGATATTCTAAAATCATCACTTATTATAATTTATATCCAAATTTATTTAAAAATGAATGAGACATATACCTGACATGTCACCGACCCACCCCACCGCTTTAGCTTACTCCACGTGTCCACAATCACATGGCTATTTTTGTTGGGATTCTCTTACAACTGAGTGATGATGAAACCCAAACTACGATATTAATGAGATTTTCCTCAAAGAACTTATGAAACTTGAAAGCTGGATTTCCTTCTGGCTTTTACCCCACACACAATGTGTTCCTTTCTTTTCTGCATGTATGGATTATTTTTCAATTTCTTTTCAGAAATTTATAACACTTCATATTGGTGTTAGATTATAAATCAATCAGAATTTGAAATAGTTTAATACAGTACTTTATTGATGGTATAAAAATTCTATAAACAAATTATTTATTCACAATAAAGTAAATTAAATAATTTAAAAAAGAAAATATAAAGAAGACAATTATAGTTGTCTGACACAAATTATTGAGAGCAACATGGAGCAGTGAGTATTTTAGTAATTCAGTGGAAAGGCTGGGGCTTCATAATCACTCTATAGCTGGCAGCACAAGAATCCCACATTCTCATTCCCTTAACTTAGCCAGTGCCACTCATAAAAAGCCAGTTTTTCTGTGCTTCCTAAATCCTACTACTCCTACTACACCTTCACAAATCCCAAGAAGAATGAAACAGGGAAGAACCTCTTCTGGCCCCATCTTCTCATGTCTTCTTCTTTTCTTCTGTCTCTCAGGATCTGCTCAGGCTTACAAGAATTACACAGTGGGAGACTCTTTAGGCTGGTTTGACAACACTGAGAAATCCAGTGTCAATTACCAGAAGTGGGCTGACAGTAAAGAATTCAGTTTGGGAGATTTCCTCGGTAAGTCTTTCAATCATAATACTTCATGTTTTCTATTCACAATCCTTGTTTGTGTAGTAGTAGTTAAGTAGACCTTTGGAATTTTTTTATAATAATTATATTATTAACATAAAATATTCACATATCATTTTTAGTGAGATTTTCTCTAAAACCATTTTTTTCTATTCATGGTCCTCACAAGAAAATGAGTTCAATACTACTCAGATCAACTTTTCAAAAGACTAGAGCATGAGGAATTTGATTGTTAATCTTGGATCTTTTGTGGATATATGTCCAAGACCCATATGTGTCTCTAGTTTTTATACAATTTCTTAAGACATGAATGTTCTAGTTTCAATTCTTTGATCTGATTTCCGATTGTTTTTAACTAAAGATTGAACCCTTCTGTGATACCTAATCATATTTAGAAAAATACTGGATAGGAAAGACAGATCATATTACAGCACATCATCCTGTAGTTTTTGTAGTATGTGTTTTTTAACTTTGCTTTATAAACAATCAAAGTATCTACTTTCTCTTCACAAATTCTCTAACCCTCGCCGCTGTATGATGGAGGATGAACAAAGCTATACAATTTAATTACTAATATTATTATTCTGGAATGTGTTGTAGCATTAGAATATATCAGAGAGAGGCACAAATTACATTGCCTTTGATTGTACTGATTTAATTACTAATATTTTTATTCTGGAATGTGTTGTAACATTAGAATATATCAGAGAGAGGCACAAATTACATTGCCTTTGATTGTACTGTTGGTCACAATCGCCTGTGTTTGTGTGTTGTTTCCGTTGGAGTCATGTATGCTATTTTTTTTGATTACGCTGTGCCAAATATTAATGTCAGAAAAACTAGACTTAAATTGGAATACTACACTTGTTGTATCTTTTTGGACTCTGCCACGATCCGCAATGTTAGTCTCAACTCAAGTATTCACTCTTCCATTTGGCAAAACAGATCATGAAAATATTACTGTTATCACTTGTCACTTTTTAGGTAAATGGGGAAAAGAGGAAAATAAAAATCTGATACCCAAAATGACTAGTTGACAACAACTGCTAGTACTTTTGTTATTCTTTTCTTTTGGTACAAACATTCTCTTTTGATACTCTCTCATTGAGTGGCCACTCAATTCTACTTGTTTAAGTTTTCTTTTATGTAAAAATTGTAATAATAATATTCTGAGACTTAAAGCTAATAAACAAATTGAAGCTAACCAGAACCGTTACTCTTATAATTGGCTATGATTAAACTATTATTTAATAGAGCCATACCTGTTGCAAAACATATTATATTAAGATAAAGAAACATTGAATTGGGCAGAAAAGTAGGTCATTATTTGAACAGCAGACCATGCCAATACTTCACAGTTGCCCTATTAAATATTCTATTCATAGTCCTACTCAATCCTTTGAAAGTAGAGTTGTTGGCTGTTTGGTTTGAATATTTATGGTATTCTATTAATTTTATGATAATTATCTTAAAAACTATACTAATAGTGATTTTTTTATTTTATTTTACGTTGCTGATAGATGACTATTAAATCTTACAACTTTTCCTATCATGGTCCATTATGATATCAAATGATCTCACCAAACAACTTATAACTTTTGATTTGTGGGTATTATTGTTGCAGTTTTCAACACTGATACTAACCACTCTGTGGTTCAGACATACAATGTCACCACATACAAACTATGTGACTACGATGATGCACAAGACAAGGACACAACACAATGGTCAGCATCTGATCCATCCAACACCCAGACACACCCTGTGACAGTGGCTGTTCCTTTGGTGAAGGAAGGGATGACGTACTTCTTTTCAGGTGACTATGATGGTGACCAATGCAAGAGTGGACAACACTTCAAAATTAATGTGACACATGGACAAGGGTTGCCCAAGAGTCTCAGAACTTCACCAGAAGATGCACCTTCTCCTGCTAGCCCTGTTGCTGGAGACGATGATTCAGCACCAGACACCATTGTCCCCTCCAATTTCAGCCACCCCAAGGAAGAAAGTGATGATGAAGATGACAAAGCTAGTGACAACAAACAACATTCTAGTTCTGTTTCAGTCTCAATGTGTGCACAACTTTACATTGTCTTGTTAGGGATACTTTTCTTGTTTTAATTAAGGAGATGAGATTTATTTTGTATTTTTTTTAACTATAGATGCCTATTATTTTATCTATTTTTTTCATTGGGTGTGAGTGAGAGTGGGGGATTTTGAGATATTGAATTGTGAGCTAGGATATTAGATATACCATATATTATTATTGTAAACTAAAATAATGTAATGATTACACATCCTTTTATATGAGTTGCTATTTAGATCATATATACATTGCTTCATTTGCTTGCCCCTTTTTTTAATCTCGAGTTTTTTTCCCTGCTATTATTCTATTGTTGCTGGCAATTTCAAGAGTGATTGAGATTAATAAAAACAAATGCATGGTGGCTAAGAAAAGGATAATTATTGAGATTAATTAGATAAATGAGGCACCCTATGTCTCCATATAATTAGTGGGTATATAATTATCAAAAAGGAATTATACCAGATAATAGTATGAATATTAAGGAGAAGAATCTACAACTCCTCGTGATCACTGAAGGCTTCTCGTATCATTAATGGACCCCTTTTATGGGCCTACATATGGGCTGGGCCCATTAAGGTTAGTATAAATAAGTGTGACTAGTGACAAAGAGAGGTACGCTTTCATAATTACCAATATTGATTAGCACTGATATCTCTGAGACCGAGGACTGACTTAAGCATTGGAGTACCTTTTGCAGGTACCCCTCTCTTCCCCTAGGATACTTCATGAAAGACAAAGACCCAACAGGAGTAGCAAAATTACCGGAGTACCCTCGTACAGGTACAGGAATAATAAAGATTAAATAAGAAATGAATATGATTATTTAGATATTAGATTTTAGAGTTATGCTACACAAAAGTTATTGAATTGTGTTCCGAATTATTAAAATAATAATATTTTTAAATAAATTTATTATAAAATAATTATTTAATTTAATATTATATAATTTAAATTATTATTTTATTTGTTCGAAAAGAATCTCAGCATACAAGTCGGAGGGTTATTCGAATTGTGTTCCGAATTATTAAAATAATAATATTTTTTAATAAATTTATTATAAAATAATTATTTAATTTAATATTATATAATTTAAATTATTATTTTATTTGTTCAAAAAGAATCTCAGCATACAAGTCGGAGGGTGAATCATTTTCCTAGATTTTATATGTAACTATTGAGTTTTTTTTATAATATTAATTAAAAATAAAATAATTTAAAAATATGAAAATGAAAATTAAGTCTCGCTATTATAATAGTTAGTGAAGTCAATAAATTTTGTATTTTTATATTTTTATTTAATAAAAAATATTTAAAAATTATCAATATTTAATAAATCAATTGGTATTATATTTTATCTTCAAATTTAAATGTTTTGAGTTAAAGTTTTATATTTATAAAATTGATTATTTTTTTATTTTTTATTATTTAAAAATTTAAGGATAAAATTGTTTATAAAATGTGTATACAAAATAAGACAATCTCTTTTTATTATATGATAGAATAATAAAAAATGAGATTGTGCGAGTACTTGGTTTAAAAATAAATAAAATAAAAATAATAGATTAAATAATAATAAGTTGCTAGTATTTTTACATGTATAGTACACAAGTTAAATATTTGTTATATGTAATTAAAATCTATAATAAATTATATATACAAATAAATATTAAGTTTAAATATATAAAATATTTAAAAATGTGTATAAATAAGTATATTTAGATATATAAATTATATTTTAAATTTTTTTATAAATAGTTTATGTTGTAGAATAATATTAATTTTATTTATTAATAATTTATTTTAGAAATATGTAAGATAGATATTCGTATTTAATATGTAAAATTGATTATTTTGGGTCTATGAACGTGATCTACAATAATATTATGATAATTAATAATTAATTTACACGTAATATATGTTAATTAAATATTATTTTAACATGTAAATAGTAATTACAATAAGTTATTTACAGAATGTAAGTAATTCGTGGTAATTATAATAAATTAAGATAAAAATATGTAGATTAAAGTCATTGTATATATTTTTAAAAACTTAATGATCATACATTATTAATATAAGAAAATTTATATAATTAATTAATAAAATATTATTATTATATAATTTTTAAGATAATTATTATAAAAATATTTTGTAATCGAATGTTATACTAACCGTGCATAACTGGGTATGTTTGGTTTTTTATTAGTGCTGCCAAAGAACTGTACTAACTAATATTATCGGAATTCAAAAACATAAAATTAAAATAATAATAATAATAATATTGTCGGTTACCTACCTGTATTCAGCCATCATTAATATAGTTCGTTCATTTCTTAAGGTCCAATTTTAGATAAATATCATTCTTTTTTGCAACTTTTTTTTTTGTTGCATACAATTTTTTATTTATTATTTTAAAATTTTGAATTGATATTAATTATATTTTTTAATTTAACCTAATTTTTAATTATCTGTCACATTTATCATAAAATTAAAGAAATATAAATAATGAATAATAAATAGTAAAAAAGTAATTTATACGATGAATAAAAAATACATTAAAAGTAAAAAAGATTTTTAAAAATGAGAAAATAATTAATTTTTTGATTCTCGTACCATGACCTTAAAATTAAACACTATATTATATTAATTTTTTCCAAAATTTATTCAACTCATCCAAAATTAATTTTAATTTATAAACAATTAATTTAATCTTTCTTTCAAATATTTTTTTATAAACTAAATAAGACTATTATAAACAATAAAACTCTTTATAAATATTTAATACAACTACAAACTTAAAAAAATATATATATATATTTGAGTTAAATCAACATCGTACAGGTGATTCACATGCTCCATGACATATGTTATGCTTATATTATATTATATGTTTTAGTTGCTTGTTCGTGAATTTATTTAAATTATTTATTATTTTCTTTTTAATAAGGTACCAAACCTAAATAATGAAATTATACAACTCTAATGATTAGCATCATTAATGTTCTAGCGTGTATAAATATCATGCTTTTTTTTTTCCTTTTTAAGTACACGGATGACCAAAATTACTTTTAAGTGAGATTTTTTTTATTATAATAAATGAGAATTGTAAATTTAGTTTGTATATTAATATATAAATGACTAAATTAAAAGCTAATTTCAGACATATCCACATAATATAAGAGTTGTGGTTGTAAACAAATAGTGATAAGTTACATTTACTGGCTGTAAAACTTTTAGTCAGTAAAGTGGTTCTAAGTTTTTCAAACCAAATGCATGGGACCTGTTTAAGGTTATACGTGACCTTGTGTAACATGCACACAAGAGTTTTGATACCAACTTCAAAGCTTGGAGGTTGTTGCATAAACATTTTCTCACGAGGACTACCATTTAAAAAGGTATTGTTAATATCAAGTTGTTAGATAAATCAATTACATGTTAGAGCCAAAGTAACAGTAACTCTAATGTCACATTTAATGATAGGATAAAAGGTTTTTGTATAGTCACTTTCTGGTTCTTTATGAATGCCCTTGGTTACAAGCTTGACTTTATATTTATTGGCAAAAGGAGCATGGTAATGAGTTAAGGAAACATGAGAGGGTAATCTATGTGATTTTCCAAGACAATATGTTGAACAAAAATCTAACTCACCTTAAAAAGATTTCACGCTATCTGACATTTTACAAAACATATTTTAGGATGAAATTTAAAAGAAAACATTGTTATCTTTAGCAAATTAGCTTACACTAACAAGATTTTTGGTGATATGAGGAACATGAAAGAGATTATGGAAAACAAGTGGATCATTAGGATTAAGATTAAAGGGAAACCAAGTTGAACTTGAAGAGGAGATAGTGAGGCCCTATTCATTATCAGCCATAAGCTAACAAGGTGCTTCATATTGAACAGGTTGTTGTATGTTGAATTGGTCGGGATTCACATGATGTAACGCTATTTGGCTATGATTGGGAAATCTAATTGAGTTGTACTGGTTCCTGCCATGACTGTTTCCAAACGGTTGAGTGTTACCATTATTATTCATAAATTGTTGATGACTTCCCAATTTGTTATCAAAATGTTGAAAATTGTTCAGCTTAGAGTTGAGGTTAAAGTCTAATTAAATGAAACATAACTTGGGTTGAATTGATGATAAAAAAATAGAGGCATTATGTCCAAATTTGTTACACACTTGACACTGAATGGAACTTCAATTGTTGTGGCCATGATCATGACAACGACCCTCTACCATTTCTCCCTTGTTGATAGTTAGGGTTCGCAAAGTATAACTACAACCTGTTTGCGATATTTGCTTACAATTTCAATTCTTCATTTGCATAATTATTCTTCTCGATATACTAAGATAGATGACTAACAATATTGCTTCCATTATTGACATTATTTTGACAATAATGATCAAAACGAACTTCCTAAGCTAAGAGCAATGCCTCAAGTTCATCTAGGTCATATGGATCGAATTGACTTGTAACCAAATTAATCAAGGAATCGTACTCCTTTGTTAAACCTTTAACAATGACATCAAGTTGTTCATAAATGGAGACACGATCACTAATGAAGCATTGACAAATGCTTTGATGCAAAGAACATACTAAAAAATTGTAAGATCCTCCTTCTTTGTGCTCCGTAATTCAATGCAAAGCATTCTCAAACATGCACATGTGTGTGTGTTGAAGTGACTGTGCAACTTGTACCAAATTTTCTGGGAATGAATACAATCGCTTAATTAAAATAAAATTGGTGTTGAAATTAATGCTTGGAGCCATGAAAGAAGTAAAGATTCTTGTTGTTCCCATCAGAGGTATACATGATTAACATTATTAGCATCATGATTTTCTTTGGTGAGAAATCGCGGCAAAATATTTGGATTCACCAAGTAACAGTGCAGTCAGTGGCCTCTGATCACCTGTTGAATCTGTTGTTTCCATAGGAGAAAATTGTTCTCCATTAGTTTTATCGAGATTGTGAGAGAAAAAGTAGTTAACATCGAAGATGAAGAGGCATTTGGAGAGAAAGAGTGGGAAGAAACCAGTTCAGGTGCAAGAGTCATGGTCATGGACCATCGAACTCTAAATATCAAATTAGAATATGGATTATGGACCTAATTTAACCCTAAAAATTGATTTATAAAGTGAGAGTTGCCTTCTACTTACAAACTCCTTATATTGTCATATCTATAGTCAATGTGAGAGTTAAGTTTTTTTTTTTCGGTACATTTCTCATGTCTAATATTATTGGACTTGATACGTTAATAAATGATGAATAACACTTTTTAATAACCTAGGATATGCGATGCTTGATTTTTTTACAATACACCCCCTCATGTCTAATATTATTGGGCTTGATACGTGTATCAATAATGAAAGATCCTTTATTTAGGATGGATCTAGATAACTTTAATATCATATTAGATTTCTATTTGAGTGAGAGAGAAAAAGAGATAACATAATTATTCTAAATTTGAAATGTTTCATTCTATATCAAAACTACAAGTATCCCTATATTTATAATATGAAAAATACAATGTTCAGTTGTAATTGAACAACAATGGACAACTAACCAACTAACATAAAAATATAAAAATGCAATTACAATTATACATGACATTTTCTAATCGAACTTAAGATAAAATGTTGTCTTATAATTTATTAATTAACTAAAATTAGAACTTTTTGTGTTGTCCTTCTTTTCATCTTATTTGTCTTTTTTTTTTAATCTTTTTATAAATCAAACATGAAATAGTATTATATTTATTTTGTCTAATAGCATGATTTTTTAGTAAATCAAATGGACTCAATATTAGACTTTTAAAACATTATTTATTTATTCATTATTTTAAAATGTGATTTGAATATGTTTTAATTGATTCAACGCATAAAATATATCCTATTAGACCCAACTAAAAGAAACAACGAAACCTAACCAATATTAAAAAAATACAATAAATAAAAATCACATAAAAGTAAGGTTTCACAAACAACCAAAAAAATAAAAAAAATCTAATATTGTTTTTATTTGATTTGATTTGATGATACCTTTTGTATAAACATTGAATAATTGAGTTATATAATTTTGTAGGTGAATTCAACTACACAAATTTTATATTTTAAATCAATAAAAAAAATAAAATTATGTCTCAAAATTAAAAATAATTACCATATTAAAAAAATAATATTAACTCAAATTTTAATGTTAAATGAGTAAAATAATTTTTTAAAAATATAAAAGACTAAAATAAATTTTTATAATACAATAAGTTACCAAAATATATTTAAAAAAGATAAAAAAAATACCTAAACTTAGAATACCTACATTTAGTAAAAGTTTTGAATAGAAATTGATTTTGTTTGCAATTTGTGACTTGAATTGGGCCTGACTTGCAGGAAGGGAAGAGATAGCACGAGCCAAGAGTCCAAAGCAGTCTCAGAGCGCAAAGAGCCTCTGTTTATTAACTTGCGCGGTGCGCTAAGTATTGTTTGTGAAGAAGGAACCGAAGAAGAGAGAGGAAAAATGGCGGAATCTTCATCGTTGTCTTCAGCAGCGAAGTCCGATACGGAGGTAGAAGAAATGCTGGATCGGATGCTGACTCGTTTGGCTCTGTGCGACGATTCCAAGCTGGAGCCGTTGCTCTCGAAGCTTCTCCCTCTCTGCATCTCCTCCCTCTCCTCGCAATCCCTCCCCGTTCGCAACAAGGTACTCCTCCCAATTTCAATTCCTCTCGCCTTCCCTTTTCAAATCAAGCTGCGAGTGCGTAAATTCGTCGCGTTTTCGTTATGCATATGCTATCGGCTACATGTCTCTTCTCTGTTGTTGCGATTGCTGAATGAACGGATACAAGCTGTTGCTGTTTACTTAGAGTAACTTTTCTTTCGCATAGTAATATTGTATTGCACTTGTAAGAATAACGATTAGTTTGCGTACATGTACACCGGCTTTGCGCGCTCTCTTTTTTTGTGAATTTATCATCAAACTGTTAATGCGGAAATTCTGTGTTTTGTCTCACAAATGTTATGAGCTAGGAGTAAATACCCACTTTTGTCCCCGAAATAAGAAAACGCTATTTTAGTCCTTTAAATTAAGAAATTGAAAGTGCAAGTTGACAATTATATTAGTCTACAACTAAAAAAGAGTGTGATTAAAGTGATAGTATTGATATATATTTAGATACTAAAGTGATAGTAAGTAGTTAAATTTATGGACTAATTTGACATTCTAGGGACGTATGTAACAATTTGTTAGTTTTAGGGGCCAAAATGACGGTGCCTTCCAAATTCCGGAACTATAATGGGTGTTTACTCCATGGGCTAGACGAAAATTGAAATATCTATTCTATGTTGGTATGATGCTGAATGAACGGATAGAAACTATTGCTGTTTCCTGAGAGTATTTTTGCTTTGGCAGAGTGATAACTAATAGTATTTGTATTGCACTTGAGATTGTGTTCAAGTACATCAGTTTGGCACGGTCTATTTTGTCCATTTTGATGTAATTTTGTGAAGCAATTTGGCGAGTGTTTAGTGATTGTTGACTTGTGTTTATGCCAGGTGCTTGAGATTTTGAGTCACGTCAACAAGAGAGTGAAGCTCCAGCAGCATATTGGTTTACCTTTGTCTGCCTTGTGGAAATTGTATTCGGAGTCTGGTGCTGTTCCAATCATAAGGAATTTTTGCATTGTGTATATAGAGATGGCTTTTCAGCGTGTTAATGCAAAGGTTTTGTATCTCAGTGCATGTTTTTTTATATTATTATTTTGGGGCTTTAGTGTTGTTTTTTATGCTGATAATTCCTTTTTCAGCATTTGGTTAAATTTTCGAAAGTAAATTATGTTTCATTTTCAGCTAAATAGACAAATTGATTGGTTCGAGACTCTTTTAAGAAATTTGTTTTCTGCTTGCTATTGAATGCTTATTGTGAAGACTATTGATGCCCTATGCATTTTGAATAGGAAAAGGAAGATCTGGCTCCTGATCTATTGGTGAACATCTCGAAACTTCCACTTCAACACCAGGAAATTATCCTTAGAATTGTTGTTAAGGTATCTAAATAAACTATTTTGACTTTGACCAAATCTTCCTTTGTCATGGTTATAACTTATAATTACAGTTGTAGAAGACTCATCATTGATCATTTTCTGCATCGGTACATAGTTATTGAGTTGGTAATATCAATTGTTCACAGTGCATTGGGACCTTTTTCTCCTTATTTTATCCAAGAAAGGCATCAATTTTGGAGATATTTCTTTCAAGGGAATTGGGAAGGATCTGAAAGGAAACCATAGAGGGAAGTTCTAAGCTTTTTGCTTGGGAATTGAAATAAAAGGATTTATTTGGAGGGAAGAAGGCTCCACTACCAACATTAAGAGCACTTGAATTTCTTGAATCCATTGGCTTGTGTCCAGCATCCTTTTTTAAAATGAATTTTCTTGGTCTATTTTCATTGTGTATATCTGAGCTCTTTAGTTTTTATTTTTACCATCCTATAGAATAGCAAGGATCACCCTGTTATACGTCTTTGGGATACGACTACTAATGGATTTCTGCTTCCTTCTAGGTAATTGGTGAATGCCACTCTGGTCAAATTGGTGATGAAGTTGCTGCAAAGTATAAAAAAGTGAATAATTCTCAAGATAGGGAGCTGTTTATTGAGTTTTGTCTTCATACAATATTGTATCAGCGGGTCTCTCAAAGGTATGGAACTGGCTCTATGCTAAAAGGATCTTTATAATATTTGAATTTGTTCTAATATGAGTTGGTTAGTTTCATTCTTATTTAAATCAAATGCTGTTTAGGTAGAATATATAGTATGTGCCTCTGTTTATGTGCATGTTCCTGTTACTAGTTGCTGTTCAGTGTAAATTGTAATCTAGAATGTCCCTAGGTCAGTTTATCAGTTAGTGTTCTGTTAGAATGTTATGTAGTAGTTGCTATAACTGTCTGAGTTAGAAGTTTGTTGAACAAACTTAAACACCGTATACATAAAAATCAGAATACTCTGAATTTGAATCTAAGAATAGAAAAGTGAAAATCAGTTTTTTTATTATTACAGATTTTATCTCAGATCCTCTCTCTCTCTCTAGAACTCTTTTATAGATTTTGTGCTGTTGCAGTGGCGGATTCCCTCCTGGGCTTTCAGTAGCTCAAGTCAATCGTGTTACGGGGAAACAACAATTGCAAAGTAATGAAATTTTACCAAGAAAGGTAAGGAAATCATGTACTTGTTATAAATTTTAATATTATCTTGCCATGCAAAGGTCAAATAGTGTATATTGTTGATTACTTTAGTTCTGAAAATTTGTAACTCTCTCTACTGCTATGCATCTTCCTTCACATTTCTTCTCTTTTCAGAAGAAGCACTGTCTAATTCAAGAATTCCTCATCTCATTATGATATGACAATCACTTTTTTTTCCTATTTTGAAGATTGATAGAAAATGCAGGGAGAAAGAAAATATTTAGAGAGAAATAGAGAGAATCAGAACCTGACATTATTGTGTTGTTCTGACTATACAAAAGATATGATGTTTATATATAATTCAAAATACATGGTTGTAAATTGTAATACAAACAAGTGACAGCTGGAGCTAACTTTCATAACTGAAATGCTAGGCTAATGGAGTTGGTTAGATAACCAACCATTAACTACTGCAACTGATAGGCACTAGAGATTAACTATATTAATCTAATATATTTGACATTTCCAAATTTTCATTTGAGCACACTTGTTAACATGTTAGTATTTCCATGTTTGGACAACATACAAGCATGTCCAATTGTGCATTTTACTCATCAAGCCACTCCAAGCTGTCTTATTGTGTTCTTTTTTGGCGCAGTTGGGTATTTTGAATGTTATTCAATCTATGGAGCTTACCCCTGAGCTTGTTTATCCTTTATATCTTGCTGCCTCTGTAGATTGGTATGTAGTAGTTCCCATGTTACTCAACTCAAATCATTTTTAAGACTTTCTTATTAACTTACTGATTTTATTTCTTTTTGGTGTTTCATTTATGGATGATCCCATGTGTTGCTTGATCTATTAACTCAAGTGAAGAGCCAGTTATTAAGAGAGGCGAGGAGCTTCTAAAGAAGAAGGCCAGTGGTGCTAATTTAGATGATTTAAATCTGATCAACAGATTATTTTTGCTATTTAATGGTATGCCTTAAATTATATTTCTTTTTGGCAATTGATTTTTTCTTCAATTTGTTCATGATCATATGCAAATATGTGAAAGTTTCACCTGAAGTTTATATGTGAGCCTGCATGATTCTTGCATAAATTAACTATAAATATTTGTTCCCTTGAGAGAATAGTTGATTCAAATGAGGTTGTTTCTAACTTCCTATTATTTTTTCACATTTCAAATTAATTAATGTTGTGTCTTCTGGGAAACTTCTTGTGCTCATCCTTCATGTTTGAACTGTGCCCTCTTGGTGGTCTACTGGCTGCTCCCATTTTTCATAATTAAGTGCAATTTCAACACAAAGGTTAAAGGGCCTATGCATTTGTTTATACTCTTGCGTGAAGGAAGGTGTGTGTAATAAATATAAGACCATTCTTAGCTGTCCACCTAACAGCTTAAGGCAGCTACTAGGAGAGTTGGTCTTTAACATATAATATATTAGGAGTCACATCACTTTCAGTCCTCTTTTTGTGTGCTAACAAGTGTTACTGAAAATGTGGACAGATAAAATTGGATAAATTGTAACTACTGCTTTTGTTCATGGTTATCAATTTTTTAAATCATAAAGAGATTGTACTCCACTATATTTGTTTCCTAATTTTTAATTCTCTCCAAGGATAAGAATTCTAGAGGATGAGATAAACATTGTGATCTTTGATGGTATGAGTGGTTTTCTTCTTCCCAATTATAGCCTATTGTGTTTCTATGACTTTGATAGCAATATTAGACATTTGTCTATTTATTTTCAATGAATGCCATTTTGCTTGACTTTCATTTTCTATTTTCAAATTACTCTTATTATATCTTGTAAGCGTATTCTATTTTCTGTCCTATTATATCTAAAACCCAATTATGCTTTTATACGTTTCTTTTTGTTTTCTCGTCAATATTTATACATTATTGACATTGGATGTAGGTACTGTTGGAGTTGAACATGTTGATTCAGAATCAAGAGTTAGTCCCGGAAGTCCTGCTTTAAAGGCAAAATTAATGTCTATCTTCTGCAGGTCTATTACAGCAGCAAACAATTTCCCATCCACCTTGCAGTGCATTTTTGGTTGCATTTATGGTAGTGAACTATTCTTGTATTTAATGATTTTGAGCTTATATTTGCTAATATTTTTTTGTTCTCTTCAAAACTTGTAGACTATTTTGTTGCGAAGTTGATTGCTTAAGAATTGGCGGAAGTAGTTAAGATTATATATTCATCCTTGACACATGCCCTGTAGTAATGAGACTTGTGCATTTGTATTAACAACTCCTATGTATTGAGAAAAACCTAAGTTCCATATTGACTAGAGATATGGTCAAAATAGTGTATATAAGGGACAATCTTCATCTTACAAGTAATTTTGTAGAGTTGCACTAGGCTCAAACCATATTCTAAGATGGTATCAAGGCCTATCCTAGATCCATTAACCCTACCATATTATCCACATACCAAATCCAATAGTGTTGGACATGAGGGGATGTATTGGGGGAAATCTTAGTTCCACATCAATTAGAAATAAGGCCAAAATAGTGTATACAAGTGAAGGATAATCCTTACTTTACAAGCCAATTTTGTAAGGTTAAGTTTGACTCAAATCGACATTCTAAGATATTGTGTATAGGGTTATTGTATATATGATCTTAGAACTTGTATTACTTTCTTTGAGAATGTTTGATTTTTTTTCTTCTTCTTTTTGTTAATTTGTGGAAATAGTTTGTATTATGAGAAAGGAGAAGATATAGAAAATGAGAATGGTCAATCCTTAAAGATGGAAATAAAAAAGTGATGAGACAATATTTCTTTTGTGACTATTTTTTCTTTGATTCTAACAATCTATTCAATTATCCCGTGCAAACCTTAATTAGGCGATGGAAACTCTCAATTTCTATAATGTCTACAGTGGTATGACTTCATCTAAACCTTGGAATGAACACTGAAGGGGGGGAAATGAATTATAAGTCTGTACCAATTATAGACATTGTAATATTTGAAAATTCTAATGACAAATGGACATCTAATTTTATTTTGTATCATTTTTCTTTCACATTAACAAGTTTTATTCTCTTTTGTATCATTCTAATTTAAAATTGCAACTTTCCATTTTTCTAAACAAAATTCTTCTTTCATTATCAAAATATGAGACACACAAACATGTGTGGATCAATAATTGGGTTGTCTGTGGAGATTTTCTTTGCTGTCCTTTTCTACTGTTCTCTTTTGATTTTTAGTCTTTTTGTCTTTATCTTTAATATTTTATATTCTTGAATTTACTAGGGAATGGTACCACATCGCGGTTGAAGCAATTAGGAATGGAATTTACTGTATGGGTATTTAAGCATGTAAGTACAATGTTACTTGGCTTTGCTTTTTTTTTTTTTTTTCATAAATTTTAGCAGAGTAAAAGTCTCTTTTGGCATTATAATTGTTTAGAAACATGAAGTATGGATACAACATGGGACATGGATATGATACACACCTGACACAGGGATATGACATTTTAAAATAATAGGACATGCTACAGTTATAACAATGCTAAGTAAAAGTTAAAATGACACAAATCTTGTATCAAGAAAGAGAATTGATGTTTTAAAAATGAGCGCGCATAATTGTAGAAGCCATTGTAGATATGATAAAAATCTATTATTTATATAATTACTATGATGTTTTCCTCTTTGTTGGTTATGTTTGTTTAAAAATTGAAAGAATAAAAGTTGTACTAATACATTTCTGACACAAAACAGACATTAATATCATTTTGAAGTGTTTCTGCTTCCCTTTTAAAAACTTATTCAGTTTAAATGATTTTAAAGTCTACTGAAGATAACATTTTTAGAGATGGTTCAGTTGAAGATACTGCTTGAAATTTGCATTGCAATTGCCGGTTGGAAAAGAATTTTACTATGATGGATTCTATTTCTATATTCTTATTAGCTTTTTGGTATGTAGTTTTACTTTACAATTGGCTGATGTGGTAGAAATGTAAACATCTAATAAACTATTGGCTCAAATAATTAAGTATGTAGTTATATATTCATGTTGGATTTTATTGTTCCATACCAGAGGTAGAGCAGATAGTGTTGCTAGATATGAAAACCATTTACTTGCTTTCACCCAACAGTTTAAGCCTTTTCGGATTGTTTATTCGTGCCTTGCCATCATAGCTTCTATGACCTTATGGTCTAGAGTTCAAGTTTTGTTGTCCTTGTTCATGTTAAATTTTAGCACAAGGTAGAGTGAGCCCTTGCTTTGTTCATGTTTTAAGCCCAAAAGGCTCTTGCATGAGGGGGCTTTGAGAGTGTTGGTTCATGACCTATATTCTTGTTAAAATATTTTATATCATTATTCATTACTATTGGAGTATAGTTTTACTCCTTACTTATATATGTAGAATAGTAATGTAGATTATGTTTTAATCTTTTTCTTTACTGTCACATTTATTATCTTTATTATAGACCAACATAGATTGGCTCTATATAAACCCATCTTGTATTTATTGTGCAGCAGTGAAAACATATTTTGCTTATTTAAATATTCTCTCATCTTCTCTCTTCCGCTCTCTCTCTTTCTCTCTCACAATTCTAATATGGTATCAGAGCTACTCGATCCTCTTTCCCCTCTCTCTTCTCTGTTCTTCACGACAATCTTGTCATGGCTGAATCAACTCCCCCACGGTTTCTTCTCCACCACCGCCGGCCCCTCCTCCACCCATCAACGCTACACCCCTCAACACCGTTCCCTCAAAGAACCCTCCCACTAATCCCCCTCCGTCTCTTACCTTTTCCCACACCATCTCAGAAAAACTGGACACCAAGAATTATCTTCTTTGGTGCCACCAAGTCGAACCGGTTATCAAAGGCCACAGACTCCATCATTTTCTTGTTAACCCACAAATTCCCCAAAAGTATCTCTCCATCACTGATCATGATTCTGGTAAGGTATCTGAGTCCTATCTTGCCTGGGAACAGCAAGATCAACTATTGCTATCTTGGCTCCAATCTTCCATGTCTAAAGACATGCTTACTAGGGTTATCGGTTGCAAGACGTCCTTTCAATTATGGGACAAAATACATTCCTACTACCATTCTCACATGAACGCCAAAAAAGGTCTTATCCTAGCTTTAAATCTTTGTTTTTTCTTGTGATTGAATTATTTTCTTAAAGAATGCTACCTCTATGTTATGATTCCATAAATGCATACTTTTGGAAGTTGTGTTTTAATGTGATTTTTTTAAAAATTTTTTTTATTGAAGTGTAACTTATTGTCTCTTCAGCATCTCTGATATCTGTAACTGGAAGTGCAGGCAAAAATTGATCAGCTCAAGTTAATGGGCCCTGTTATTTTGAGTGGAATTATGAAGTCCCTCGACAATTATCCAAGTTCAGAAGCAGGTTTGCTTAAGACTTGAAAGTTCTTTTTAATGTTATTCGAATACAATTAGTTTATGTTATGTTCAATTTTAAGTATTGACTCAGATGCCAGTGCTCGGGAGGTCAAAAATTACGCTTTTCAGGCAATTGGGTTGCTTGCCAAGCGCATGCCTCACCTCTTCAGGTTCCAATCTCTTTATTTCTCATGATCATACTTTTTTTTTTCATTTTTGCACATTTTTTTCCCCTTCATTGGTACTTATTTGCATGATGGGACCAGAAAATATGATTTAAAATGCAGAATGGTACTTTGTGCAAAACAGTTGAAATAAAATAATGAACAATTTATAATATAATTTTTTAGAAGGGCAATGAGTAATAATGTAGTTGATAACCGTTGTGCCCTTAATGTAATGAACAATTTATAATATAAAGAGAATATTTTCTTGAGTTAGGTCCTTTGGGACTTCTACTAAGTAGTTACCAATTGAGCTGCTCCCTGTTCTTCCAGGGAAAAGATTGACATGGCTGCTCGTCTTTTTCATGCCTTGAAAGATGAATCCCAGTCACTTCGATTTGTTGTTCAAGAGGCAACTATATCTCTTGCTGAAGCATACAAAGTATGTACCTTTTTTGGTTACTTGTGTGAATCTATTTTTCATTAATGTTCTCAGTCATGAAAAATGTATTATTATAACTATCTGATGTGCAAGTGAAACTAGTTTGTCAAGTTAGTTCAAAGAAAAGGAAACAAACAACCTTAGAGTATCAAAAAGAGAGTTAATACTCATTTTGACACTCTATCAACACTATCTGATGTGAAAGTGAAACTAGTTTGTCAAGTTTAGTCCCACAGTTTTAGTTTACCTCACTTGCATATGAGATACAGGAAACATCATATTGTGGCATGCTTCTTTAGATTTTGACAAGTATATACAATTGCTTTACCTAATTTCCAGTCCTCAAAATTTTGCCCTCCATTTTCATGAAATCCAAACAAGGTGTAAGGCACGTAAATTGAGGATCTGCATTGCTCATTGTATTGTGACTTCCCAATTGCTTGTTATACCTTCGCAACTGTATGCTATTAGAAATTTTTTATTGGGGTCATTAGATACCCAAAGTTGAGCCCAAGCTTAGGTACTTTCACAAGTTATGGTTGTGTTGGTGTGATGTTGGTTGAGTTGAATTCTTTTATTTCATACAATTAGAGAGTAGAACCACAATTTTCTTGTGACTCCTTTTCTTTTATGGGCTATGTTGTTTAACTCTTTCACCAACTTGATGTCATAATTTTGAATTTCTCTCAAACTTTAGGTTGTTATGTGTTGGGCTAAAAAATAATCGTGGGACTCTGTTTGCAAACTTCATACCATGCTCTTACTTTTGGACTTTTGGTTGATTTAGAATTTTATCCTCTTTTTCACATTTTTCATTTACTGTACTGTCTTGTGCATCAGGCAGCCCCATTATCTGTGTTACAAGATTTGGAGACACTTCTGCTAAAAAATTCTCAAGTGGTATGGAAAAACATACTGACTTTTCCCTCAATCTAGTAGACTGTATACAGATATATTACCTTGTTGAACAAGTTTCATGGCATAGCTGTATTCTTATTTGTTCCTGTTATGTTGGAAATTACATAGTAATAAACCTACTCCATTTTCCAAGTTGCCTAGATTTATTGCAACTCGGGGAATAGAGTTAGAATTATTAGCATAATTATTCTTTATTGTAAATTTCTTTTTATTTATTTTTTGTATCTCTCTCTCTCTCTCTCTCTCTATATATATATATATATATATTATATATATATTTCCCTAGGCTGAGTGTGTATTCAATCAACCAATTTTACTCTGATATTTACATAAATATTCTCTTCGTAAAAGTTCTTCATATATTGTGAAGAAATTGGAATTATAAAATTGAATTTTTTCTCTCCTGAATCAAGAGGCTAGTACACCAAAAATTTATAATATGATATTGGTAGATAAAAAAGGATACAAAATCTATACTGATAAAGGAAATAACTGTGTATATAGCTCTCTAAATAAATCCCCTGATTTAAGGGATTGAGGTTTGACTTTCCTAATAGTTATATTTACAGTTCAACACACCTACACACGTGTATGTGTGTGATTATACAATCATACATGGATGGTCTAGATTGAATTGAATAAAATCAATCTTGCCATCCATGTATAGTTGTGTGATGGCTCATTTTATTTGGCATTCAGAGGAATATAAAACTTTACTCATTATTATTATTATTATTATTATTATTATTATTATTATTTTTAAGAAAACAAATAAGATAGGGAAGGAAGATACAAAAGGATGATAAGAAATCCTCAAGGGAGTAAAGATGACACAATAAAAAATAAATGGAAAAGAAAACAGAAATTAAGAAAATGCAAAAAAAATGCCAATCTCTATGGAAATATAACAAGGTCAACCCCGGCCCCTAAAAGGACCACGAGGAGAACATCACAAAGAAGCTAGAAGAACTACAAGATGCCAAATGTACCCAATAGAAGATTCCTGTCCTGAGAAGTTACTTGCATTCTTTCCAACCAAATACACCAAGGAACTGCAGCCGGAGAACACTGCATAGCTTTTTGGCATCTTTGCTATAAACAAACTCTGAAATTACTACTATTATATTCATTTTATTGTGATTTTTAGCTTTGTTTTGTTATTCTTTTTTCCCTCCAGACTATTGCTTTTCTTTTTTTATCTATTTGGAAATTAAAGGACATATGGTTTGAACAGTAACATGCTTCATGGTGATGACAGGAGGAAAGTGAAGTACGATTTTGTGCTGTAAGATGGGCAACATCTTTGTTTGATCTTGAACATTGTCCTAGTCGTTTTATTTGTATGCTTGGAGCAGCAGATGTTAAATTAGATATCAGGTATTGCAAATTCCTTTAGCAATGTGCTGACATGCTATGATGAGTTAAAGCATGTAGTCTTCTTATAGGGATTTCTCTTACAGATATTTTGAGGGAATGGGTAGCTTTTCTTGGTGTTTTTCTTTTTCTCTGTGTTTTCCATTTACTTTGGAGAGGATCCCTTACCCTCCCAACTGAATTTCTTCTCTTATCAATATAAGAGGGGGAAAAAACTCCCAAGACTAATGCATGCTCTTTTCATTAAAAGCTTTTGGATAATTGTGCATATTTGTCTTCCAAAGGAGGTGCAATTAGAGAATGAATCCTTTTTTACATATTTCTTTCAATATTGCATCAAATAACATTTTGAGCCTCTTGTCAAATATCGTAATTTCTATAACGAATGTGCACAACATTTATAAATGCACAACTTTTTTATTCTAGTTTTTAAAGACAGCATTTTCTGGTAGTATTTCTTATTGATCATAACTCTGTAAACTTGAGAAGAGAAAAGGAAAAATGCAAATGTGTTAAATTTTAATAAGAATATATCTTGGATTTTTCATGTCCTCAGATTGTATGGCTTTCCTAATAATCATATACTGCTTCCTATAATGCATTTTTTGTTACTGTAAATACTTACTTTTATTCCAAGCTGATGATTTTTGAGTTTTGTTCTTTGTATAACATATGAAAACTGAATTGTAATTGTAGCTTCTTTTAGTTTCCTTGGGTAATTATGTTTTGACGATTTTGCAATTTTTATAACTTGAAGTCTTATAAATTCATTTAACTATTTAGCATCATTGACTTCACATTAGGTTTTGTTTTCTGGTCTGAAACAGAGAAATGGCGCTTGAAGGCCTTTGTCTTCTTAAAAGTGAAAGTGAAATTGTTGGTCTTAAGTATCCCAAACTGGGTATGATGCTGGATTACATTCTTCAACAACAGCCAAAGTTGTTAGAGTCCAGTGAAACTAGGGAACAGAACCTTCTTTTCCCTTCAAATACATATGTGGCCATGATTAAATTTTTGTTGAAATGCTTTGAGTCGGAGTTGGAGCAGAATAAATCCTTAGAAGGATCATCTGAATTTATGTCATCAGTGAAGGCTTTCTGTTCGATCCTGGAGCATTCTATGTCATTTGAAGGTTCTGTAGAGTTGCATGTCAATGCTTCCAAGGTGTTGCTTATCATTGGATCACATATGCCAGAGGTCAGTTGTTAGAGTTTTTTTATCGCTTTCTTCATTATATTCCTTCTGACACATTTATTGTTATAGGTAATAGCGTCACATTTTGCCCTGAAAGTTTCATGGCTTAAACAACTACTAAATCATGTGGATTGGGACACTCGTGAATCCTTTGCACGTTTACTTGGTATTGTGTCTTCGGCTCTTCCTACCCCTGATGTTATGTCTGAATTGACTTCCTTATTTAGCCAAACACAGAAATCAAGGTTTGTATATTGTTGGAACTAATTTTTTTTGTCAGTTTCTAAGAATTAATGCATTTTATACGTGTTTTATATATGCTCATATTCAATTAATTTATTGACAGGTTTGAGACTAGGCATGGTGCTCTTTGTGCAATAGGATATGTAACTGCAAATTATTTGTCTAGAACACCTGTAAGTTTAATATTACTGCGTTTTTTTTAATTAGTAAATGGATTAGAATACTATAAACAAGCTTTGGCTGGGATCAATAGACTAATATTTTATACTTTTATGGTTTAACATATATTTGCATAGAATGCTAGTTTTATCAGTGTGACCTTTGAGTCGTGTAATTGTGATTTTGATCTTGATCAACATGCTCTTTGAGCTAATGCCTTTTCTAAAATATACTTTAGATGAAACTGAAATCTTAATTGTTGGGTATACTCATGTCATTGCTTTTGTTATAAATATGTTTGCTTTTTCATAATGTTGGCAGATGCCAGAAATACTTCTCCAGAATACACTTAGATGTCTGGTTGATGTGGTTAATTCTGAAACTTCTGCACTGGCTGCTGCTGCAATGCAAGCACTAGGTCATATTGGACTTTGTATTTCGTTACCTCCACTTGATTCGAATTCAGGTAAATTCAATTCTAATAAGCTGGTGAACTCCTTGTTTGGATTTGGATCTTGAACTGAGCTATTCGTTGAGATAAACTAAGGATGTCTGATTAATTCTGCAGATGGAATTCTGATAATTTTATCTGATAAATTGAGCAAGCTTCTCTTGGGTGATGACATTAAAGCAATACAGAAGATTGTTATATCTATTGGACATATATGTGTAAAAGAAACATCATCTACTCAGCTAGATATGGCCCTAAATCTGATTTTCAGTCTCTGTCGATCTAAGGTAATTCAGCTTCTACCTCTTTTTTATGATTTTCATATTATGAGTGTGACTTATATAGGGTTGATGTTTACTTTGATTTGCCTTTGTGTTTTGTGTTCGTTGTCAATATTTTGCTCCAATTTTTTTTTCTTGTTTCCTTTTTATGTTGTGGAAGAGATATTGGTTTTTTTGGATGCATTGATCTTGATCGATAGCAGTTCAAATTTTTTTTTTGTTTTCTTTTTGAGCTAAAACATCCACTAATGCTATTTGTTTTTCCATTAAAAGTTTCAGCAACTAAAAAGTTCCACATTTATGTAACTCAAATTTCAGGTTGAGGATATTCTCTTTGCTGCTGGGGAGGCCCTTTCTTTTTTGTGGGGTGGTGTTCCTTTCAATGCTGACATAATTCTTAAAACTAACTATACTTCACTGTCGATGGCTTCAAACTTTTTGATGGGAGATTTGACCTCTTCTGTGTCTAAGCAGAGTACTAATGAACTAAGCAAATACAGTGAAGATTATCATGCTTCTGTGAGAGATACAATCACAAAAAAGCTCTTTGACGTTCTTTTGTATAGTAGCAGGAAAGAAGAGAGGTGTGCTGGAACTGTTTGGCTAGTTTCACTTTTAAAGTACTGTGGCAATCATCCCACTATTCAACAAATGCTTCCAGAAATTCAGGTGTTGCATTAATAGAACAAAATTTCTTGTTTTTTTTCCAATCTCTATAGTAATCTGCCAAACTTCACTATGGTATTGCATTGTTTTCCAAGGTTATATGGAGTGAGATAATAAAAAAACATTTGTTTTCCTTTAGTTTAAACTTTAAAAAGATGCCTGATGGTTACAGTTGTATATTGGGTTCCATGAAATATGGATTGGAAGATGGCCTTGATCCTTGTAAATTTATTTTGGTTGTGTTCAAACTTGTTGAATATTGTTATAGGTGTTCGTATGAGTCCTTTCAGAATTTTATTATGATGGTGGGAGTGTGCTTGTCTAGATTCCAATTTATCACCTTTGATGCCCAAGCAGGAGTGCATAGTCATGGAATTGAAGTCTTGGTTTTTATGTATAATATCATTACTGAAATTCCTGCAGTGGGCCTATCCTTTGGGTGTTAATAGTTTTGAATTTGAAAGTGTTTTCATTTGTCAGATATTAAATGCATCCTATAGATCACTGATGGAGTAGTTGTTTATAGTTGATAATGGGGATTTTTAATTTGAATTGGAAGAGGGTTTTTGATTGGGTCAGTTGTTCTTTTTATGATAAACTTTGGGAACTGTAAGTGGATCTGTGGATCTTTTACTATGTTTTCAGTCATTGTGAAGGAAAAGCCTAAATCCTAATTTTGAGATTACAAGGGTGTTAGACAACGAGTTAATGTGGTTGTTGGTGTATGATCTTATGGCATTGGCATTTGTGAAGATACAAATGGAAGCTTGCATGTGAATCCTGCAGATTCAATTGTAATCCCCTTAAAGCCTACAGAGAAATTGCAGAATGATTTTTCGTTGTTAGTGGGGTTGATTGTAGGGGATAAAAACTTCTGATTTAAGGGACTAAAAGCAAAGATGGTCCATTTTTCAGGGACTAAAAACACCATTAACCCATCTGTTTTATATGTTCTTGACACCATATCTGTTTTGTAGCAGAATCCTATAACCTGTAATATCAGATTTACAATTATCATGTAAATGCAGGAGGCTTTTTCTCACCTTATTGGTGAACAAAATGAACTCACGCAAGAGTTGGCTTCTCAAGGCATGAGTATTGTGTATGACATTGGTGATGAATCTATGAAAAAGAATTTGGTGAGTGCACTTGTGAATACATTGACTGCGACAGGGAAACGGAAAAGAGCCATCAAAGTAAGTTGCTAGTCTAGTATTTCTTTTTGAATTGTCTTATTGTGGGATAAGCCTTGGTGATTTATTGTTTTTTGCTTTCTTCCTTTAATTTTGCTGTTTAAAATTATATCCCTGAAGTTTTGCTGTGCAGCTTGTTGAAGACACTGAAGTATTTATGGATGGAACTCTTGGTGAAAGTGCTAGTGGAGGGAAACTGAACACTTACAAGGAGTTGTGTAACTTAGCAAATGAGATGGGACAACCAGACTTAATTTATAAGTTCATGGATTTAGCAAATTATCAAGCTTCTCTGAATTCAAAGAGGGGTGCTGCTTTTGGCTTCTCTAAAATAGCTAAACAAGCAGGAGATGTTCTTAAGCCATATTTACGTACTTTAATTCCAAGGCTTGTACGCTATCAGTATGATCCTGACAAAAATGTGCAGGTAAGTGCCATCACTGCCAGAAAATCAAAGTGATAGAGAATGAAAGCTGCCTCTAAGTTTCTTTGTTCCACTACAAACAGAAAAGGAATGAATGCACTAAAGTACAATAGCATTAGCATTTGTTCTTCAGTCTATTGTTTCAGTATGAAGCTTACTTTTGTAGCTTTTGCTTCATGAGTATTTCCTTGCTATTCAGCACAGAGAAAAAAATCGCTGCTAACATTTTTTGTGGGGCGGGGAGGGGTTCTAACTATTTATTGTCACCAGACAGATTGCATATTCATATTTTCATTCATAAGCTGGTAAGCCTGCTATTGAATCTCATCCTAACAAAGAGCATCTCCAGTTGAATCCAGAAAACTCTACCCAGTTTTGATCTATTATAGAACATAATAGTGTTTTATAACTCATTTTGTTGTCAAATCTCAAACATAAAAGTCTAGTTTTGCACCCTAAATTTTTTGGTTTGGTCCTCTATTGTGTTCCATATGAGATTTTTTTTTTAACTCTCAAATAAATAATGTGCAGTTTGTATTTTTCTCACCTTTTTAATTGAACAATTCCTCTTTCCTTAGAAAGCAATGCCAAGCATAATATTGAATAAGTGTGTGAATTCTTACTTTCGGACACTAATTTTCTTTGGTTATTGCATTTCATTTTTTGCTTAGGATGCAATGGTACATATATGGAAGTCACTTGTGGATGATTCAAAGAAAACCATTGACGAAAATTTAGATCTTATCATTGATGATTTACTAGAACAATGTGGATCCAGGCTTTGGCGGTCACGCGAGGCATCATGTCTTGCCCTTGCAGACATTATTCAAGGACGAAAGTTTTATGAGGTGTTTAAGATTATTTTTGTTTTTGAATTTAAATACCATGCTAAGAGTTCTCTTGATCAATTCTATCATAGAAAAGAAATCCTTAAAGTTAAAGTAATTAACTAATTAGTAATTACATGTAAAAAGATAAGTCACTGTTGCGATATTATTGCTGGTTTGTGATATTTATTGTGGAGAATAGCGTCAGTTCTTCTGCCCTTCTGTTTCTTCCTTCCCATTTTTGTTACGAGTTGTTTACTTGGCTTTGTGTTTGTGTCAAAATGTGGTTTATAAGTTTATTTAAGGGGCTTTTAAGTGTTGATTTGAACGGGAATGGATTCTCTCTATTGGAATTCAACACGAGAGAGTAAAGTGCTCTCATCTTATCCATCCACGTTATTTAAACACAAGTTTATAATACATTTTATAAAATAAACTAAATAATTATAATGGCCATGCAGTGAAAATGTCACTGCAGAGGATCTCAACTTTGAAGAGGGATTCAAGAGCTATTTTTATTTAATGTACTATTCTTCTGTTTCAGTTATTTCTAATTTCCTTTTTTGTTTAATCTAGGAGGACTTTTTGGTCTCAGTTCTCATTGGATTCCTCTTCAATGAAATTTCCTTTAAGGAAACTAGTTCAATAATCACTATTCCTCTTTTTAGTTGCAATTTAATTGTTGCTTGTGCTCGAAAAAGTGAAAAAAACTGTGACCATATTAATAATATGCTACAACCTGAGCACTGGTTGATTTGATATATCTGAAGCATATCAACATGTCTTTATTCTTGTTTGTGTGCTTTTATTTTGTCTTGCACCACCCACAGGTTGAGAAGCATTTAAAGAGATTATGGTCAGGAGCCTTTCGTGCAATGGATGACATAAAGGAAACTGTCAGAATTTCTGGTGAAAAATTATGCCGTGCTGTAACTTCCTTGACAACAAGGCTCTGTGATGTCTCTCTAACTGATATGTCAAATGCACACAAAGCAATGGATATTGTTTTACCTTTTTTGCTTGCAGAAGGTATACTAAGTAAAGTTGACAGTGTTCGCAAGGCATCGATTGGAGTTGTTATGAAGCTTACTAAGGTTAGGAATGTCTTGTTATATGCAAGCTTTTTTGTTTTTCTTTTTTCTTTTGTCTTTCTGCCATCACCAGATTGAAAATATTCGTGTATTCACATCTCAGAGTTGTTTGTTCAAATCTTATTTAACTTTGTAGGTAATAGGGATGTATATGCTTGTTTGGCTGTAGTTTTTATAATATAGGAACATAACATAAGACTACTTAAAACAGATTTTTTTTTTTTAATTCTTGTTGGATAGTATGTTGGTTGTTGTGCATTATTCCAATAATTTTTCAGGTGTGGTATTTTTGGACACTTTAGAGATGGGAGGTATCAGAAAATCCCATGCATATCGGAAATAATTAGGAATACTGTTTTTGGGAAAACCTCCTCTGTCCACTTGGGGCCATCCTCATTAAATAGCCTTTAGGAGCTTTACGACAGAGGAAGACACTAAAGATATTTACAGTAGAGATGATACAGATACTTACAGCAGAGAGATATTACATATATTTACAGATAATTGTAATGTCTAATTAAATGATAGAATTATAAGATCTAATTAAATAATAATTATGACAGCATAAAGGTCATTAACAGGATGGCCATCACTTACTGCTGTTTTGTTTTTTGGTACAATATTCTTTATTTATTTTTTTATGGAGTATAGCTTGTCTTATTGTACTTTTTCAAACTTTTTCCCCCCAAAAATAAAATAACTTACTAGAATAGCAACTGTTTCTAGAATTTATTTCCAAGTTAGCGTGATCGTGCTAACCTGCAAGTATAATACATTACAAGTTTAAATAGCATTCACAGTTTTTTATGTGTCTGTTGTCTGTTTTGGTATTAGTTTTTAGTTGCTGCATCATGAAATTTCTGGTTTTCCTTTGACTTTGTCTGATTGTGATTGGGCAAGATTAATCATTAATGATGTATTATTATGGAAATAAATTATAACATGCAGCTGTTATTCCAACAAGTTATTCTGCTGTTAAATCTGAGCTGTCTTGTTATTGTCTCTTCATAGCATGCTGGAACCGCAATTCGTCCACATATATCTGCTCTAGTGTGCTGCATGCTTGAAAGTTTATCAAGCCTAGAAGATCAAGCGCTCAATTATGTCGAGGTTTGGCTTGAATGATATATTCCATTATTGCATGTGTTCACTATTAATTCTTGTTTATTCATATGTTAACCTTTTATGTTTTTCTTTTTATCAGCTTCATGCGGCAAATGTTGGAATACAGTCAGAAAAGCTTGAAAGTTTGAGAATTTCCATTGCTAAAGGCTCTCCTATGTGGGAGACTTTAGATTCATGCATAAAAGTTGTTGATGCAGAGTCATTGAACACATTGATCCCACGGCTTGCTCATTTAGTGCGATCTGGAGTGGGCCTTAACACTAGGTCTGTTATTAACTTATTATCACATCTCGTGTATTATCTTTTGCATTGTTCTGCCTGGTTGAACTGTCTCAAGTCATTTTATTATTTCCTCTTGAAAAACTGAGGACCTTATGTTTATTTTTGCTTTGTTTGAATCAGGAGAAAAATAAAGAGGAATGAAATAAGGAGTGATTGAAATAGAAGGGAAATGAAGTAGAAAATATATGTTGTTTGGATAAATAGAATGAAGAAGGAAATGAATGGAAGAATTTTGTCTCCACTTGTTTGGATAAGTAAAAAAAAAAAGTGGAAAGAAATAAATAATTTATATAAAAATATTTGTATTCTAATTAAATAATTTAATTTTTATTCTATTATTTTTCTTAACAAATTATTTATTATTTTAAAAAATGCTATAAAATTGTTATTTTTTAAGAACTTAAAAAAAGAGGATCTGAATTTTTAATATGTTAATTTTTCTAAACATAAAATTAATATTTATTTATTTATATTAAAATTTTATTTAAGTAAAAAAATATAAAACGTATATACAGGATTATAAAGTAGTGCAGCCGGGAGCCACCCTCATTGTTTGCAACACATTTCTGTTCTAATTCACTGGTGCCAAAGGCGGATACAAAATTCCTGTGGGGCCCACACAAATTATTTTTTCTTCCTTCCATTTCCATGCCAACCAAACCATCAAAATTTCATATTTCCATCCTCTTTCACTTCTCAATTCATTCCTCTCCAAATCAATAGAAACAATCTTAAAGAGGGTGAGTTTAGTAGAAAAAGTGTGCAGGATTTGTGAAAATCAGTAGATGGTTGATGTTCGCATTTCTCAATGTGTTCTATATTAATATATCATCATCCTTGTGATGCTGATGCTTGAGCTTTCTTGTTTTAATGATTTTTTTTTTTTTAATATTCCTCTACTTTTCCTCTTGCTTCTTGTAGGAATATTTATAATCAAGTACATTTGTCTATCTGTATTTTTGAAATTTTGTTTCATTATGAACAAGGAAAAAACAAACAAATTTATTAAAACCATATTATTTTTTAGAGGGAGCTGTCTCATTATTCTTCTCTAAGATTGATAGCATACATGGTTCTTGCTATCCTTACCATAAAAACATGCCTTAGAATTTTTGGTGCATGTATCAGATAGTCTAGAAGAAACATTTTATCATATATTTCTTGGCTCATTTTGTCCTCAATCCTCATCACCAGACTACACAACTACTCTCCCATTACTTTTATCACCACTTGACCACCTCACTATTTTGTTGCCACCACTCTGCCACCAATTTTCCATTTGGAAAAGCTGCAAACTATAGTTTGGGCAAAAGCTTGTTTCTTGTAACTTATTCTTAAATCATGGTTTTAAGGTTCCAAATGGCAAACCAAACATACCAGTACTGGGGCTTGTATAGGAATCTTCTGTTATATTCTGATATTTGGGAGTGTTAATTAATCATGCATATATGGTTCAAGATGCCTACAAGTAATTTTTAATTCTTACCTTGCAATCACTTGATGTTTAGCACAACTCTAGCAGTTCTGATAATTTTAGATCCTTTTAAATGGAATTAATCTATATTTTGCCTTTGGTTCTGACAGAAGCATTTTTTCATATTCATAAATTTGTTTCATTATTAGGTATGCTTTCTGTGCTTGTGCAGGGTTGGTGTTGCCAATTTTATTACCTTGTTGCTTGAAAGTGTTGGTGTTGACATCAAGCCATATGCAAATATGTTGGTGAGGTTGTTGTTTCCAGTTGTTAAGGAGGAAAAAAGTACTGCTGCAAAACGTGCCTTTGCAAGTGCCTGTGCAAAAATCCTAAATTATATACCAGTCTCACAGGCACAAAAACTTATTGAAGATACTGCAGCTTTGCATGCTGGTGACAAGAATTCTCAAATTGCATGTGCATTGCTCTTAAAGAGCTATTCATCCATGGCAACAGATGTTATTGGTGGATATCATGCAGTTATCATTCCAGTTGTTTTCATTTCAAGGTCATGAACATTCTTTTATTTTTTCTGATGTGATTTGTTATGTTAATATTTTATAAAATCCCATATTATATCAATTCAAAATCATAAATTTAAGCAGAAGTTCTTGCCATTGGTGCTCACATAACAAACTAAGAATTTCATATTGAATAATGAAAGTATTTCTAATTTCACATGTACTAGAAAGTGTCATGCAATTCACCAAAAAAATGTCATGCAGATTTGAAGATGATAAAAATGTCTCCAGCCTATTTGAGGAACTATGGGAAGAATATACAAGTGGGGAACGAATCACTCTCCACTTATACTTGGGAGAAATTGTTTCACTTATTTGTGAGGGCATGTCATCATCAACGTGGGCAAGTAAAAGAAAAGTTAGTCTTCCTTCTTTTCTGCCTTTGCCAATAATTTGATTTAACCTCATAGTAGCTTGGTGATTTCATGATCTGTATGTAGATATTTGCTTATTTTCTGCTGTTGTGCCTGCAGTCTGCACAGGCTATATGTAGGCTTAGTGAAGTTTTGGGTGAATCTCTTTCTTCTCACCATGAGGTTTTGCTTCAGTCTCTCATGAAGGAAATTCCTGGTCGCCTATGGGAGGTACAAAATGAATTTTGCTTTGGTTGAGAACAGTGCTACTTTAAGATTTTACATATGGCAGGAAAAAATATTATCAAATATCAATCATGACAAATTGCTCAAGTTTTATGTGCTTGTTTTTCTTACTACATATGGCAGGGCAAAGACGTGCTATTGCTAGCAGTAGGTGCTCTATGTACATCCTGCCATAAAGCAATTTTGGCTGAAGGTTCCACTTCTTCCATTGCCATTCTGAATTTGGTATCATCTGCTTGCACCAAAAAGGGGAAAAAGTATCGTGAAGCAGCACTTTCCTCTCTTGAACAGGTTAGTAATTTATAGTGGATGCTGGATAGTAATTTTAGGAAAGCTTTATTCTTTGGTGTAAATATTGAATTGAAAACCAATGAGCATCCTTGGTCTTTGACAAATAGCTTCGTCACAACTGTCTCCATTGTGAAAAGTGGAGACATGTACATTAATGTATGTTGTGTATAACTAACATGATTATTGTCAACGTTAATCAGTTATGGAATGAATTGATAACGGCCTAGTTTCTGTAGAACTGTCTAGAGAAAAGAATTGACATTACATGTTTAGTATAACTATTTAGGTTTGCCTCTTTTTTAGCTCCTAAAATCATAAAATTGACATTACATGTTTGTTCTTGACCACTGATAATTACTACAGTAAATTCAGTCATTTTTATATACTTTTTTATTTTATTTTATTTTATTTTTTTATGCTTAGATGCTTTATTTTTTGTACGTTTCCAGGTTATAAAATCCTTGGGCAATCCAGAGTTCTTTAATATGGTTTTTCCCTTGTTGTTTGATCTATGCAATTCAGAGCCCCTAAAGTCCGGGCAAGCACCTTTGGTCAGTGATGCTGCTGAATCAGGTTATGATATATTCTAGATCATTTAAGTCTTGCAACAAATTTTGTTCCACATATGAGACTTTATGGCAATCAATTAAACATTTGATACAATTTTTGCTAAAGTTTCTCATGTTGGTTTAGTTTGCTACTGATTAAAGTTCTAAACAAATAGTAAAGGGTTGTTTCTTGTATGATACTGTCAACATGTCCCACAATGGTTAGGAATATGGCTAGAGTCCAGAATTGAGCAATCTTCTCCCTTTAAGTTAACTTTTAGAATTGAGTTAAGCCTAGTCCATTTCTAATAGATGCTTTCTATAGTGTTGAAGAAGTCCATGTTGCTGGATTAGAAACAAATAGAAGAGTGTATAAGTAAGAGGGTCATAAGTCCAACGTATATATGATTTCTGGATCAACTAGGGTCAAATCAAACTATCCATCTATTTCTAATCTCTCTTTTCAAGAAAGAGCAAAAGCCCGCACAATAAATGAAATAATGACCTTTGGCCTTTAAGGGGCCAAAAACTTGAAGTATAAGCCGATGCTAGTGCTTGAAGACAAGTCACAGCTGCATGAAGCCAGTTGTACATGAAAGGGAGTGTTGGAGAACAGATCTCACATTGGTGTTTTAGAAACTCATAAAATTATATAAACTAAAGGATCATGAGTCCAAAGTGCCTATGCATTTTGGATAAACAATCCACTCAAGTTGAAATTCCTCTAATCAACTATGTTACACTCTTGGACAAAGTCTTGTGCATAAATTATAATATGTGGTTAAGTAAATATTAATAAATACAGTGAAGATCATGTAATGAAAGTGACATAGGGCCTGTTTGGATAAGTTTCTTCAGAAGCACTTCTAGGAGAGAAAAATAGGAAGGAAAATCAAAATAAACTTCTCCATAAGCTAAAACTAACTTATGCATGAATTCAAAATAAGATTTTGGAGAAATTTGTTTTATTTTTTCTTCTTATTTTGCTCTTCTTAAAGTGTTTTACAGGGAAATTTATCCAAACAGACCCATACTGTAGAACTGTATTTGTCTTCCCTTTGACTTGTCTTGCTGAAGCCATTGTAGCATCTCATAAGAATAAGGGTTGGTTGTGAAGTGTTCGGCTTTGAATTATTTTCTTTGATAGAACTTTGCTTTCAAGATTTGTGTAGCTTCTATTTTACATTAATGTTAAAACAGACTGATAGAAACTGCAGCATAATTATACAGAGAGAAGTCTATTAATACTCTCTTCCTAAGTTTTACCTTAGGGATTATAAACCTGGTATCTTATCAGAAAGAATAAGGGATTTCTCCTTGAATAAAAGCCTAATTTGCAGAACTTTGAGTGTCTGTACCTCCCAATGCCCAAAGGCCCCAATTCTCTCACAAATGAAAAAATAGTGCTCTTTTTCTTCTCTTATTTGTAGGCGATCTGCCGTAGTTCTTTTCTATCTCAGCCCAACAAACTAACAGATACCAACAGTTAACTAACTAACAAATTGACTCTCTAAATTACTAACAGGTTGACAACTAACAGTTAACTAACATACTCCCCCATAGTTTCACCTTGTCCTCAAGGTGACTAGCTATGGCAGCTGCAAATAAAGCCCATGTCAATGTTCTGGTTGTTTGAAGCATGTTGACCTAGCCAACGAAACCACCGCTGCCCAAAATTAACTAACAATCCTCCTAGGTCAAACTCAAATATGGAAGTGCCTCCATTATTCTCTAATGAAACAAAGCATCATTACTCTAAAGTCGTAATGAGATCCCTTGGCTCCCTTATGAATTGCTGCACATGATTGCAAATCATGGGTTAGGTACTCACTGTTCTTAGTGGGTTTGGTTTGGCTCATTAAATTCAGAAATCTAATTTCTCGTCCTTTATTAGTCAGTCTCCCTTCATTTTCAATCACCCATTTTTCAAAAGTTTGTATAGAAAATTGTGAAAATATTTTTTTAGTTTTACTATTATAATTTTTTTTGTTTTCACTTTTTTCTATGCAGTTTTGAAAACAGAAAACAAGGTGAATATATAAATCATTTTCTCAAATCAAACATGATCTTAGTATCTAGCAACTTGACGAAATGGATGATTCTCCTTGTTAGTGTTGCTGCTAAGTGGCTATTTCAAATGGCCAGCCACTTGAATCATTTGATCTTTCCTTGTTACATTATTCCCATCCGAGCTGCTCAGTGCTACTGACTACAAGTATTTTGACACATAATTCTCTTCTCTTTTTTTTTTTTTTTTTGCAGAGTTGGACAGTGTAGAAGGGATTACTGTTCCGTATAACAAAATTGTTGATTGTTTAACCTCTTGTATCCATGTGGCACATATAAATGATATTCTTGAAAAGCAAAAGAGCTTAATGCAGATGTATACTGCATTCCTGTTACCTGAACATAAATGGACTGGTATTCTTTATGCTTCAGTTTTTGATTTTTCAAAGTCCCTTTCATTTTTTTTTATTAATCTTAATCTTAATTAAGAAAGAAATCTCTGTGCAGTAAAAACTACAGCCTTTTTATCCATCAAAGAACTTTGCTCAAGGCTCGACAATGTTGCAAAGGACTCCCAGGGAAGTCATGAACATGTTGGTGTAACTTCTCTTGTTCAGGAGGTAACGGAGGCTTACTCTCAGTTGGATTTCTATTAACTTCAATTCTTGAGTGATCTAATATCAACTTTATTTTTCTTCAGATGTTTCATTCTCTGTCACCAAAAATACTACATTGCATAAGCACAATAAAAATTGCACAGGTATGTGACTGTCTTGTTTGGTTGAATATTATTCATCAGTTAGATTCCGCTGCCCTATAGAAGTCTAAAACCCTAAGGGTAATCAGCATCTGTTTGTATTAATTTTAAGTTTGTAAAATCTTAGATCTGAACGCTAGGCACATTGGGTAACTTCAATAGACAACACAATTGATTATAATGTCATGAGTCAGAAGTGCAATTGAAATGTTTACTGAAACGTATTTTTTTGGGGGTTTGATAAAATTATGTGAAGCATTACATAATGCTTGTTACAGTGGCTGCAATTTTGTTCTAAAGCGTAAGCTTACACCGGAAGAGTGGATGAAATTGTTTGCAATTTTCACATTTACTTGGTATGATCATCAGTTCCTATTATGAAATAATGATGTGGAATATATTGGCAATTGAAATACTTAAAAAGGTTGGAGTGGTCCAAACAGTTGAATAAAAGCCCAGCAATCTATTTTATTTTCACCCAAATCTTAAATGCCAAATGCTGATACAATGTGTTAAGAAATATATAGGGACTAGATTTGTAACTTTCCCTTTGCGTGATCATCTTTAATAGTGGTGATTTTTCCTGTACTTTATTGGTTACTGTCGGTGATAATTTTATTTCATGTTGTGCATTTATTGTGTTCAAAATCAGGTTCATGTTTCAGCTTCAGAATGTCTACTGGAAGTCATGAAACTTGCCATGGGCGTCCCTTTAGTTGGCACCATCAATGAAGGATTCAAGGACGAGCTGCTTCATCAGTTGGAGATAGAGAAGAACGAAGGGGCAAAGTCAATATTGAGAAAGTGCGTCAACATTCTTCAAGACTTGAAATAATAATTGTACGAGCTATAGGCTCTGATCCATATTTATAAAGTTTTGGGAAGATGAAACATTTAAGAAGCTCATAATTTTCTATAGCTCGTAGCCGTAGATAATATTATGTCGCATGACTTTCTTAACGACACACAAAAAACTCTTGTAGCCAATCTAACATATCATACTATTAAAACGTTAATAAAACAAAATAGCTTTTCCATTTTCTCTCAAAGCTTCATCTCTAGCCAACGCCTAATTTTTATCTTCAATATTTTTTGACTTTGGCCCTTTGTTTTTCCTTGCACACATCTTTAACCAATTTATAATATTCTAAGCAAATATTCTCCTCACTTTTTTTTTTCTTCTCTCTCTTTCCATTCATGATATTCTAAGCAAAGATTTTAGGTAAAGTATATCTAAACTTAATATTTTGGTCCAACCCTTGTGAATAAATGCATTGTAATGTCGATTTGATGTTTTTATTATCATGAAATTTTCGTCTATGTCAAGTTTCATGTGTCGAGATCCAATAATCAAACTAGTATCATCAGTTTTGTAACTTTGATAATCAAACCAAATCAACAGTCTGAATCTGACCATCTGTATTATCTATCGTTAATTCAAAATATAATATATTCGGATTTTAAATTGATGTACTCTATAGAATTAAAATTAATATTAAATAAACATTTTGTAATGTATAAGTATTGTTAAAATTTATAATAAAAAATAAGTGATTGAAAAAATGTTAAAAAACATTTTTATTGAAGAATAACTTATAAATCTTATCTTATATATTTTAAAGGTTTTCTTTGCAAATGATATATAAAAGATTTAAAATATAAAAATAAATATATACAAAAGTATTTACAATAAATTTTAATTACGATATGATTTACATATTTAAAAATATTTATTCATATGCGAATAATTTTTAAGTATTTGGTACTTTACTCTTAAGATTGCATTTATTATATGTAATGAAAATTTATAATAAATTATATATAAATAGATATAATATTTGAATATATATAATTTATATAAATTGATGTTTTTAATCATATAAAATATATTTAAATTTATTTATAACAATATATAAAGGTGATATAAAGTTTTGTTTTTCACTTTTTAATAACTAATTTTACCCCTTAATATCATAGTAATCTCTTCTTATTACTGTTATTTAATTTAAAAAATGACCTTAATTTAAATTTTAGTGAAAACGGCTACTTTTTCATTTTAACATTCTATCTTTTTTTTACTTTTAATTGTTTATCATTTATATACTATTTTAATTTTTATATTAACATATAGAATAAAATTATATTATAGTAATAAATAATTTATATTGTATATAAAATTATTTTGAATTATTGATAATTTATTTTAAATTATTAAAATTTAATTTATAGATTAATATAATAAATAAAAATTAAATTAGATAAAAGGTTAAAAAAATTTACCAGCCAAATACAAACAAAACATGTATAGCATAAATAGACTAACAATAATATCACATATCACTCATTCAAGACATAAAAACATCAATTGGTCATATAACATTAAAAATGCATATGTATGGACACAGACTATATATTATCATGCATGTGGTGCCAGTAACATATCACATGACATATTGCCGCTAACAATACATGAAGAGTAGTCTAGCAATACATGCTGGGTCACACCCTCTGCGCACTCTCACTAGAAGGACATACTACTAGGGTCTCGTCGGGATAGCTAAGCCGCGCAAGATACATCTCATGCACACAATGGGCAAGATTGAGACTTACAAACCGAGCTATCCCCAAAGCTTTTACACTAAGGGGCCTTCCCTGACGGTGTATTCCATATCGTCCCCTTAAAAACATTTATGCACATAATGCATGTCAATCAAGACTCGATGTTTTTCTCATATCACATTTTCATGTCTCATTCTCATATAATATTATCACATCTCATTGTCATATCACATTATCACATCTCATTGTCATATCACATTATCACATCTCATTGTCATATCACATTATCACATCATATTCACAATTTTCACAGAGCACTTTAATTCATATCAAAACATTTATTTGCGAAATTAAACACATATTCATACATCTTATACAACAAGGAATACAACAGAACAATCAAAAAGCAAAACAGAAAACATTCATATTTTGCCTGTTTCTCATAAGGTTCTCTCAAGAACTCACATAGCACTCTAATTCATACAATAAACATCTTACTCATATAATTGTCTCTTACAATTACAAATGCATTCCTTTGGGTTTCCATAGGAACCCATACAGATCTCTAAATTATACATTTATATTTAAATATAGGAAAAGCAATAGAAGAAACATATATAATTAGGAAAAATTCCTCATACATGAGCATACAACAAACAACAAACAACAAACATAGGATTGGGGGCCAATCCCACTACCCAACATACATTCCCACATCTAGAGCAAAGTTTCTCACTCCCCCCTTACCTCGATAAGCAGGAGTTGAAACTAAAGCTAGATCTTGTTGGTCTCCTCCTCTAGGTTCCCCTTGGTCTTCAGAGAGTGTAGAAGAAAAAAGTTTAGAAATGAAAAAATGTCCTTTTGGGAGTGCCAGAGCGTTCTATATATAGGCATCAGGAGTCGCGAGAACGGCTCGTTTCAAATCCGGAATGGCCTATTCTGGACTCGTTCGTCATCCGTAAATTTCACATTCAGAACGACCTGTTCCAAAACTAGAACGACCCGTTCTAAAATCACATTTTACCTTCAATGGCCATATCTGGAATGGCATGTTCCCAAATCGGAACGGCTCGTTCTGGCATCGTATTTTACTCATAGATTCATGTGTTGGAACGGCCCATTCCATTTAGTCTTTATAGGTCATTTTAGTAGTTTGGAACAGCCCGTTCCAGTTTGAGAATGGCCTGTTCTGGGCTACTAAAAATCAAAATATTATCCAAAAATAATTTTCATAAATATTTATTATTAAAATACTAATAATTATTAAAAACCTTTAAAACATCCTATAAAACTCATTAAAATAACTATAAGAAAATAATCTCCATAAATATAAAAATAAATAATAATTAACCATTTTACTAGTAAAAAATTCAGGATGTTACATTTATCATAAATTTAAGTTATAATTTATATTAAAAAATTATAATTTTATTACAATATAGTTGAAAATTGTTGAATTTTCAAGAATTAAAAATTAACTCTCAACTGTCAAAATTGAAAAGGTACAAATTGTGTGAACTACATTTATATTTAAATCATAAAAATATTCTTAATTTGTTGCTATATTATTAAGATCATAAATTGAACTTTGAATAAATTTAAATTTAATCTAGTAATATTATTTTTAAGGAATAAAAATTGAAAAAACAATTAATATGCATGAAAATTTATATAATTTAGGTTTAGATATGAATTTAGTTGATGTATATTTGCTCTTTATCAAATTTTCTTCCTATAAGTGTTTTTTTTTCATTTTTAGTCTTTGTAAATTTTGTGCTTTTTAGATTTTTTAACTTTCTTTTTCTCATAATATGTTACTTAAACTCATCTTGAAATCTCTCTTTTGTCAACAAAGTATGTCGGTACCTCTAGAATCTCATTGGACTACAAATAAAGGTATACTATGTTGTCCCAACATTATTCATCATGGTTTGATTATACAACCATCGTCCTCTATTATTCCCCTTCACATAACAACCTTTTTTGTTATTGATTGGGCTTATGACCTTGATGACAAACATTTAACCTTTGACTCATGTATACTTTTTGGTCCATACCATATTTCATGGTGGTCTAAAAAGGCAAACTATTATGGCACACTTTACTACTAAAATTGAATATTGTAGCTTAGTAGTTACTAGTGCAGAAACTTTATGGATTCAGTTTCTCTTACAAGAACTACACATCAATATTCTTTCGCCCACAATTTATTATGATAATATAAGCACAATGGCTCTTTCTTGTAATCTTATTCTTCATGCAAGAACAAAGCATATGAAGCTTGATCTTTTATTTCTTTTGGAAAAGTGATTAGTAACAATCTCAAAGTACTTCACACCCTTTCGATGAGCAATGTGCAAATATCCTCACCAAAACTTTATCTCCTACTCGTTTCCAATACCTTAGAGACAAGTTGCAACTGACTTGTGTTCTTGCTTAGCCACCTTTAGCTTGAGGAGGAATGTTGGAATATATTAGAATAATTTTTGCAATATTATAGTAGTAGGGTGCATAGGATCTTATTGTGAGCCTGTTTAATTGTATTTTCTTCCTCTAGTTTATTAGATTGCTACTTTTATGTTAAATAGTTTCCTTTGTACATTTCCTTAATAGTGTCACGTACTATTTAGCCATTATCTTTATATAATTGATTTTTTCTTGCAAATAATCATATTGAATTCGTTGAATAACATAGAGTATTCATTTTCAATACATACTACACTCCCTCAACCTCATATATACACATGTGGTCTTCCCAACAATCACTAAGAATCATCTTTCCATGTAACACAATATTATTCAAGTCTACTTCATATGTCATGTGGTACCAACTAACTCATGAAATAATTTAGGAGCACATGTCTAACTACAAGAAGCATCATCAATGTTTGATGCCTTGGATATAGATCACATTACAATAAAAAGGTATCCACCTAGTGACTTGTCAAGGTTACCTAACTTTTGAAGTACACCATGACCCTATGGGATCAACATAGGCCATTGGAGTTTCCACATTAAGTCTTTGAAACACTCAAAGTCCAAGCCAAACTTGTCATGATCACCACCTGGCTTGTGCCTATTTCACCCCAACTCAAAGACTCAATGCAAAAAATTTACCTTCTTTTTTTTTAATCAAATTTATTTTAAAATATTAAAATTTAATTCACATATAAATGTGATATATAAAAATTGAATTAGATAAAAAGTTAAAAGAATTTATAATTATGAAAATTTAATTTATAGATAAATAAAAAATTAAATTAAATAAGAAATTGAATAAATTTTTAAAATAATTTTTTATCAACTTTATTTTAAAAATATTAAAATTTAACTCACAAATAAATATATAAATAAAAATTAAAAAATGATTAAAAACATATTTTCGTTAAAAAAATTAAAAATATTGTTACAAACATTTATTATATAGATGTTGATTTGGTAAAAAAAAATGGTTTTAACCATCAAATCAAATATAAAGAATCAAATTATGTACACACTTGTTAAAAAAAAAAAAAACTGAATTTAATAAAAATGAAGAACAATAATCATAGGTTGCGTTTCTGAGTTCTCAGAAGGTTTGGGTCAGTGAAGTCTTCTCCGTGAAGAAGAAGAAGAAGAAGAAGCGTTTGCGGTAAAGCATGGATGAAGCCGAATTTCAACGCCTTCTCCAACTCTTCCCCGTTGTTCGTTCTCGCGATTATTCTGTACTTCTCTCTCTTTCTCTATTAGGGTTTTCAACTTTCTGTCTTATCCTTCATTTTTTATCTCTATTACTCTGCATCACCAGTCTCGCTTCTCTGCTGGTTAAAGTTTCGGTTTTTCAGAGACCCGTGTCGTGATTTTCGTAATTCACGCGTTGTTTTTCTCTTAACACAATGATGCCCGTTTGTTTTTACGTTGGTTTAATGGGATAGTGTTAGATTGACGTGTTTGTAGTGTCTGAATTCACGTGGAAATTGTTGGTGGGTGCAACAGAATGGGTGAGGGTACCATTAACTATGAGAAGGGCTTATTTAGTATGAGATCACAACAAGGTCCAGGCTTGAATTGGGTTGATTTGATAAATGAGGATATGGTTCAGTTCCACCGGTGAAATTGGGCAATTCAATTATTCACTAATTGTGTTAAATTAAGAGAAATTCTATGTAATGATGTAGTCTGTTTCAGCTAGAGATTCAAGTCAGAGGCTTTGGTAGGAGCAATGAGGGTAAACTCTATGGAGGTGTGCAGTGTTTGCAGATATATGGTGTATTTTGTTGAGATGGATTGATTTTATTTTTTAGGGCATTCATCTCTGTGGAGCTGTCATGGGACAAGGTTATTCAATTCATGGATTCTATCTGGGTCCCTTCCCACGGTTTCTTTTGAGGAAATTTCTATTTGAAACATTTAGCTGGATTGGAGAGCTCTTCTGTTCTGCATTTTCATGTTTCATCTTTTGTTGTATTCTTTTTATTATTATTATTTTTAGTCTTTTAGTTATAGGAGGATAGCTAATCCTCCTTCCTTTGTGTGTTCTTTCTCTTTTTCCTAATATGATATCTTATGTCATAGAAAAGTTCAAAATTATTGTAATGGCATTTTTTTTTTCTCTCCAATTTTTGAACTTCATTGAAACAATTTGAACAGATTAAGATCCCCTACAGTTGAGAAATTAACTGTAAATGATCTGAACCATAAAAATTAATTGATTTATTACTAAATAAAAGCTACAATATGAATACATTAACTATCAGCCATTAAATGCAACTGCATCCTCATGCAGATTCTTTATGAACTGTAGAGGATCCGGTTCCCAATTTGAACATTTTGAAATCCAAATGCAATATCTGCTTCTTGTAGTTTGAGGATTGGTGCAGTAAGTTAACTTTATTTGTTCTATGTGTGGGATGATGATTAGGAAATGCTAGGACAATGATACTGCTCTACTGGACCTATTTTAGAGGCAAAACTTTCTGTTTCATAACCGTGCCATCTTCTTTGTGCTCAGTTTGAATTATGGATATTGCCTTACAGTTGGTAGGATTTGTCCAGGACCAATTAATTTTATTATCTCATCTTGTTTTGATTTTCATTTGATACAGATATTGGATTAGTTTCCTGTCTTTTGTCCATTTAACTGGCATTTTATATGAATCAGTTGGTTTCTCTGCCTTGAAAGCTTTCACTGGCAAACACACACACACACACACACACACACACACACACACACACACACACACACACACACACACACACACACACATATATATATATATATATGTATATATATATATTATTTTCTGAATTTGAAATACTGATTTCCACAGCATACTCTGAAACTGTAAAAAGCAAAGTCCACTTTTTATTTTTTAGCTTATATATTTTAGAAAATTCTATATTTGTGAATGCATTCAAGACCAAATTGACAACTGTTGAATCTCAGGAGGAACCAGTATCATCATCCAGACAACTTGAACCTGGGTCAGCACAGAATGAAGTAGTAATGCCAAACCTGAATCTGTTGTATGCATTGATGTCTGCATATATATTTGATGGTAGCTAACAAATTTGTCTCTGCAGCTAAAAGAGTGGCAAGATGCATGGGATGAAAGGGATAAGGATTTTGGGAAGCAAGAAATTAATGAAAACGGTACCACTATCTTTGGGACTTATTTATCAATTTCAGTTTTCTAGAAAGCGCATCTAAGTTCACGACTTACATGGCAATATAATTAATTACTTTGGTTATAACTTACAAGAAACAGATTGAAATTAATGCTGTGCTTATGTGAATTCTTCAAATCTACAGGTTTATTTTGGAGCAAGCTAAAGTCAGAGGCTGCTAGGAAGGTATTCTGAAATTCACCTGTTATTACTTACATATTGTTTTAGAATTGGCGTCCAAACAGGAAACATAGCACGTGTTTATTGCTATTGGAAATTTGCTTACACCCTAGTTTTAAGTCCTTCATCAAAAGTTTGAAGCTGATTATGTGAATTGTGAAATTTTAATTGTTACTTGTTAGTGACAGGAGGGGGGAGGTGTTATATCATAGAATTTATGCTGTAAGGCTATAACGTTGATGGTGATGTTATTGAGGATTTATGACATTTACATGTGATTCTTAAATAAGTTGTTATGCCTAGAATGAGAATCAGCTCATTGTTTCTGATGTTCCAACAGGTGGGTGCAGAAGAAGCGGAGAAATTTTGCAAGGCATTCCAACAAGTTCATAAGAAACTAGTAAGTGCAAAATAATTGTCATTTAGGACATTGTTCCATAAAAAATATTATGAAAGATATATTTTATATAGGGTAGTATCTTCTTAGAAACTGGAAAGCATTTTTGTGAAATTTTCTAAAATACCTATGCATTCAGAAAGGTGTATTTATTTTCTATGAAAATGTTTATATATATATATATATATATTTTCGTTGGGGTCTTTCTTGAAGGATTGTCTTTCATTGATTAGGAAAATAATTTTTGAACTGCAGAGACTTGAGAGCATTACACATGTTTTCATTTTGCAACAAATATAGAAAGTCATACATTTGCTCCTGAAATTTGGGAAAATTTAAAAAAAAAAGGAAAAAGAAACTGAAATGTTGTTTGAAACTGGGTTTCTTTGTTAATATAGTGTTTGACGAAAGTTTCTTTATGTTATGTTTTTCATTATATTTTAGGTCAATGAAGAGTTAAGTTTAGATGCTGCTCGAAGCTTCTTAAACTCATCCTAGAGTTCCAAAGGATCATGCTTTCGACATTTCCTCGTGATTCAACCATCAGCCGTTGTAATTCTTTTGTACTGTATCAAAATATTTTATAATTTAATATCGGCTATATTTTGAATTGTAGTTATTTATTATTACTATTGTATTATTAAGAACTAGCATTCTTTTTCCCCCAATAACCCTCCACCCCTTTTTTCTTCATTTCAATTGTGTGAACTTATTGTTTTTATTTGCCTTTATGTCTGGAACTTGCATCATACTGTGGTGATTGTGATTGTGATTGTATCAGAATCGATTATATCATGCAGGTGATGACTTTCCTTCAGATTAAACTACATTTATATTCGTATGTACAAAAAAATTGAACATGTGGATTTAGTTTGTGACTGTCGAGAAGGTCACAAAATACTTTGCATAAATTTCAGGGACCAAAATTAAAAAATTTAATAAAGAAAGATTGCGTTTTGAAAAGGAAAAAAAAATTAAAATTGAAGGCAATAATGTTGGCATGGTTGGCAAGATAGAACAAGATGTTGGCTGTATGATATTTGTATCTACAAAGCAAATAAATAAATAAAAAAACACAATAAAAAGATAGTGTATGATATTCGGTGCATGTGTTAGAATGGTAGGCATTTAGTAAAAGAAATAGAATAGAATTGAACATGAAGTAAAAAAATGATATATCTGTTTCACTAAAATAAAGAACTGTCATGCTATTGACGATAATCATTCTTGTCACATTTACCTTTGTGAAGTAGGTACGTATACGTTTGAAGCATTATTAAATACTAATCAGCAAAATAATACACTGATTTGGGAAACAAGTAGCTTTACACGTGACGTAGAGATCATTTGTTGTATTGAAATGTTGATTGATTTTGTTAATATACATAGGAATGAGGTATTCGCTATCTTGTAGTACGAAGGATAAATCTCAACTATACATATAAATTAGATTGTCAAGAGAATATTTTTAAGAATTTTGACCATATGTTTATAATTATACATTCAAGATTATCTGTTCATTTCATGTCCTATGGCTGTGATAATATGCGATGATGTGACCCTCACACATATAAGTTGGGTTGGCTTTATCAAATCATGCTAGCAATTGATAGATTAGTATCACCAACAAACACAAACTGTATCTCTTATGTTTATATACTCAACCAATTATTTGCAGATGATATATTTTTTATGAATAGTTACAAAAATATCTAAGTAAATAATGTTATTCTCAACAAAACAAATAGCCATGCTGCTGTGAAAAACACAAATTCCATTTCTCCCATGACTACTTCTGTCTATTCAATTCATCAATTTCAAAGAATTTTTCATGCCGTCTCCTTTTTGTCTTTTACTTCAAAATCTATATTTCATTATCAACACTTATTATATAAATTAGAGGACTCCTTAATATTCACTTAACATTAGAAAATTTGATAATTTGATATGAGGTGAGAAATTTGTTGTAAGTTACATTTGGCGATAGCATTAATGAGTGTTGAGCTCTGAAATGTCATCTTTATTGGTTTTGTTGGTAGTTGGGCAGAATGCCACTCTACCTGTCCTGCTTCCACACCGACCTCTCTCTCTCTCATAGAAACATAAAACCTGAAAAACATTAATTATTAACCCATCTTTGTGGGAAATTGCTCTTACTATTTTTTATGCCGACCATATCAAAAGAAATAATTTTCATAGACATTAATATTGTAACCAAAAGATGATACGATAATAAAATACTTTAATATTATCAATATATTAAGAGTTTAATTTAAATATATTTTTTTTTTTTTAGGTATAAGCTATATGTATTTCTTTTTTATCTATAAACATGGTCTACATAATATTCTGATAATAAAGAATTAATTTTATATAGACAAAATAAAGTGATATTTCAAATTATGATTTCATATATAAATCTGAAATCAAATTCTAGACTTCAATTAAGAAAAATAAATGTTGACCCACTTGTATGACCAACTTTAAGTGATTGACTATATAATTATTTTATAATAATAATATGAAATTAAATTTTATATATATAGAAGAGAGATCTACTTATTTTAAGAATAAATTTTGATAAATTTATTTTACTTAATAATTCATATTTTATATAAAATTTTAATGATCCAATCTTTAAATTAAATTTTTTTATTTCTAGATCAAATCACAAACTTTTAAAATATTTAATTTTTTTTAATATTTAATTTTACTAATTCAAATGGAAAAATAATTATAAAAATATTTTATACATTGATTTAAATTTATATAATAAAATATTATATGACTTTTTTTTTTAATTTATAAATTTAATCTATATATTAAAAAAATTTAATTTGAGAGTGTGATTATTGAAATTTAATTTAAAATATAAATTATTGACTGAAATAAGTAAGTATCTCCTCATATATATATATGATAAAACTTAGGTAAAGTTCCTTAAGTATGATTGATATTATTATTTATCTTCTAAACAAATAAAATTTAACCTTGATAATATAAATAAATGTATATTTATGAAATTTATCATTTAATGTATAATAGCTCGTTAATATACATTTTTCATTAATATATTCACGAATATTATCAAGAAAAAATTTAATTTTAATTGAAAAATCAAATACACATAACAAATTGTATGTAAGTTTTATCTATGTAAAAATGGATACAAACCTTGGCATATTATAATGTCTCACAAGCTGACCTAACTAGTAACCTAACTACCAACTGAAAATTAGGTTCTCTTTATCTGTCTTCATTGAATTGATCAAAAAGTCAATCTTCCCTTTGTTCCTACTCTTCTTCTTCATCTACCACCTTCCTCTTCTCATTCTCCCCAATTTCTAGGGTTTCCCTCTCTCTTTTTCCAGGTCTGTCTGCCTCTTCCCATTATCTATTTTCTTTGTTTTCAAAGGAACTTGCCAACCGAAGTCTCAAATAGAAAAAAAAAAAAAAAAAAAAAAAAAAAAAAAAAAAAAAACCTGAGAATTTTCTTTTCCTAAACTCTTCATTGAGTATTATTCTTTTCCATTGTGTGCCTTTGTTCTTTATGTTTATTTATTTATTCATTTTCTGTGGAGCTTAGTTTCAACTTTCAACTGTGAGTTCTGCTATTGTTTGTCTAGTCAATTATGATCAGCAGCTATTTAAAATCCCAAAAGCCTACATTTTGTCTTTTGATACTATCCTTATTTGAGTAGGTGGAAAATGGGGAATGAAAATCATTTAACACATGTTTTGTACAACACAAATGTGGAAAGGTTGTAGTTATAGCTAGTGGAATGCAACTCCTGTACATTCCAACCACAATTCCTGGTTCCAGTTATAGCACGAAAGCAAGTTGGAAGTGATTTTTTGCGCACTACAATGTAGATAAATTGATTTTGAATTGAAGCCACTGTACCCCTAGCTTTTGTGTTAAATGTAAAACATTAAGTTTTACTGCTAACTTATTCTAAAAATAAGATTAAGAACATCCAAACATAAATCACATCACTTCAAAATCAATTTTAACCAAAATCAAATTTACACAATCAATTTTGCAAATGCTGGCTCCAACACACTAAAACTGAAGTCAATTGCTACTAATTATGATCCTTCTTCACTTCTTTTTATACGACATGGCATCACCCGTAGTAAATGGATTTTATAAAGTAGAAAACTTGGACACAATACTAACATGGCACTGTTAGTAATGTTCTCTAATAAAAATTAGAGTTTTACATTTAATTGAATCAATTTTGATTGGAGAACAACACCAACAATACCTATGGTACTATATGTAAGTTTTATCCTATTATAAAAGGCAACTTATTTATTTTGTGAACTACAACCTTAATCTGTAAGAGTATTACTGGCCATTGAATCTCATTATGTGAAGATGAATAGAAGCATGATATGCAGATTAAAATGTCTCTCCTTACTATCTGAGATAATGGTAGCTGAGGTTTTAAATAGGTTCTTGATGCACAGTACTTACTTTCTCATATTTTTTGCTAGTTCCCTTTAATCCATCCACTTCACCATGTCAAGTTTGGAGGAGCCACTTGGTCTTGACAAGTTGCCAAGCATGAGTACCATTGATAGGATTCAGCGATTCTCATCTGGTGCTTGCCGTCCCAGAGTAGATAACTTGGGCATGGGAAACTGCTGGATTGAAGGACCAAGTTGCAGCACATCTAACAGCTGCAAGTGAGTCATATATTGCAACTCAAGTTACACACTTAATGCATTATTGCTCTATCATTCAACTTCTTTTTGTCCTCTTTTACATTCTAATCACTGTCATCATATAGTATTTAATCTGTTACCTGCCTAATATATCCATAATACCTTTCTATCTTTATGCAGTGAAGATGATGAAGAGTATACAGCAGAGACTTTCCCATGGAAAAGACAAACAAGAGACTTATCCCGAGATGGTTCTTTCAGTCAAAAGACTCTAACCAAAGGGAGAAAGTCAATGAAATTTGGAATGATTGATGATTCATTCTCTGATTGCCAAAACAGTCCAAAATGCAATACTATAGATTTGCAAGATTTGGCTTATAAGGTAATTGAGTGTTCTTTGTTCAAGTTTTTTCAGTTCTATCTTACACCTTGCCTCTCCGTGTTTCCCATTATGTCATATTTCTTTGTCTGGTAATTAGCATATTTTCAACTTTTAATTGGATAATGGCATGATGCAGTTTCTGAATGGTATACCAAAGTTTGTAAAGATAGTAGAAGTTGGTCCAAGGGATGGATTACAAAATGAGAAGAATATTGTACCAACATCTGTAAAGATTGAATTGATTCATAGACTAGCTTCTACTGGGTTATCTGTTATTGAGGCTACAAGTTTTGTTTCTCCCAAATGGGTCCCACAGGTATCATGGATTTACCATATTTGTTGTATAATTTGACATTGATGATTTTTGAGAAGGATGGGTAGTATAAAAATTCTCCGAAATGAGTGTATCTGATATCAGCTCCCAATATCATGGATCAACTGGTGTTTACTATGGATGCGTTTGGATGGCTTTTATTGGATAAAAACCATTCAACCGTAGAACTTTTTAATGTCTGCTATCGGATAAAAGACAATATATAGTATTCTGAATGACTTCTGCAGTTGTTACTCCTATGCATTCCATATGATTTTAAATCATTATGTTTCTTTGTCTTATAGTTGGCTGATGCAAAGGATGTAATGCAAGCAGTGCATAGCTTGAGAGGCATCAGATTGCCAGTTCTGACCCCTAATTTAAAGGTACATATATCTAGATAACCATAAATAGGATTTATGTTCAAATATCTGACCTGTTACATTTATAGGGTTTTGAGGCTGCAATAGCTGCTGGTGCTAGAGAAGTTGCTATTTTTGCATCAGCTTCTGAATCATTTTCAAAATCAAACATTAACTGTAGTATCGAAGAGAGCCTTATTCGTTTCCGAGCTGTTACTCGTGCTGCTAAACAACTCTCAATTCCTGTTCGAGGGTATGCCTTTTATTTTCTTTTTTACTTATTCTAATACTACATCATATTTAAAAGGTGGCCAGGTAAAGGTCTAGTTGTTGGATGCATGAAAGTTCCATTGGTTGATATTGTAGATTTTGCTGACACATCATTCTGTTTCTATTATGTGTATTCCATACTTCAATTAGTTTCTTTGTATTGAAATGCCATAGGTATGTATCATGTATTGCTGGATGCCCAGTGGAAGGACCAATCCCTCCTTCAAAAGTGGCCTATGTTGCTAAAGAACTATACGATATGGGTTGCTTTGAAATCTCCCTTGGTGACACAATTGGAGTTGGCACGCCAGGTAACAAGTTTGATGAATTTTGAACTTTGAAAGGTTAAGTGATCCATGCTTGATACAATAGATGTGGTGGATTTCTTTCATTTTGTTGATAGACAATATTCTCTATTCTTGTAGACCTTTCTAAGTAGTAATTAAGAACTTGATAAGATGAAAATGTCAATTCTAGGCAAAATAATTTTTTGCTTTCTTTCTTGATTTCTCATCTTCTTTTTAGTTTTCTTGCTTTCTTACTTGTTTACTTGCTTTCTTTCTTGATTCATGTTTTGTTTCTTGGTTTTTTGCTCTTTTTTTTTGTACCTGATTTCTTGCTTTCTTGCTTTCTTGATTTCTTACTTTCTTGATTTCTTGGGGATGAATGTAAAACTAAGTGCTTTGTATTTTACTGAGAATTTGTTATTGGTTTCTGGTATATGGTCCTTGTACTTATATTGTTTCTATGCTTTTGGTCGTGCTCAGGAACTATAGTTCCTATGCTTTTGGCTGTGATGGCTGTTGTTCCAATAGATAAGCTTGCTGTTCACTTCCATGACACTTACGGGCAATCCCTTCCAAATATACTGGTGTCCCTCCAAGTAAGCCATCAACTTAGGACATTAGTTGCAGTGCCATAGGTGTTATTCGTACTATTTTCTAATTAGAATTGAAGTTTCATTAGTAATAAATGATTCTATTAAATTTCAAGACATATTATCATAGTAAAACTCTGATTTTAATTGGAAAACAACACTAATAATACTCATGATATTGTATCTAAAATTTTTTCATCAATTTAATTGGAGAACAGTACTTATAATTGTCCAAAATGCTTTTTCTTCCTCCATAATAATCCCATCCAAACATGCCATAAATGAATTCATGACTTGTTTTGGCACCATAAACTTTTATTTGATCAGATGGGGATTAGCACAGTGGATTCCTCTGTTGCGGGTCTTGGTGGGTGCCCATATGCGAAGGGAGCTTCAGGAAATGTTGCCACTGAAGATGTTGTGTACATGTTGAACGGCCTAGGTGTCAAAACCAATGTTGATCTTCCAAAACTCATGTTGGCTGGTCACTTCATCAGCAACCATTTGGGGAGGCCATCCACTTCAAAAACTGCCATTGCCTTCAATAATAGTCACAACTGATGCCTGCAAACATATCATATTAAATGTACCATCAAGATACTTTATGTTAATATGCTTCAAGCAGTGTGGTATGACCACTCTGACTCTATACATATTATGTTTCTTTGTTCTTCTGCATGATGTAGTAGAAGAAGAATAACATGTTCATTCACATGGATGAGTTTTAGGATGGAAGAAATATATAGCAAGTACAAATTGCTCATTTGAAGCTTACCATTTTTCCCGTAACTGTATTTCTCCTTTACACAAGTTGTGTAGAATGTTTGTACTAATGCATAAATCTAATTTAACGATGGGAAAGAACAAAGAAAAATTTCACTGGTTTTCTTTTTTCAATATATAATTAATCCTTTAAAAAGTGAAGCAATAATGGATTCTTGAAAATGTTAACTCGAATTAATAAAATTACTAAAGTCTCACTGTCTAGGATCTGATTATTTAGTGACTTTTTTTTTTTCAAGAACTAAAATAAGTCGAGTAATATTTTATATTGACCAAATTGGATATTTACTTTCTCAAGTTTTATAATTAAGAGGTTATCGAAACAGTGCCTCTGCTGCTTTATCCTATTCTTCTGTACATAGGCTGTAAACGATTATTTTTTGAAGTTCTTTAAAAAATATGCTAATTTTTTTAGGGAAATTCAAGGTAGGGTTCTTTCAATTAAATTTTACACGAGAACCAAAACTATTTACCCCATGTTGTGAGCGTGCTGGTCAAGAACAGTGTTGATCTTTTTGGAATACTACAAGTTTGTAGTTTGTTTCATTGTGTGATCATGTGCTTGCTAGCTCGCTAAACACTCATAGGAGGATCCATTCTTCTACATATAATATATCATGCCAATGTTATAATAATAATAATAATAATAAATAAAATAAAATAAAATTGCCCATGGCATGTGTTAAAACACCGTAAATGCCATCATGCACTTGTGCTTTCTTTCAAGTCTTGAACATTCACCATGCAATACAAATTATCTGTATAACACTCACAAAACTTAATTATGACATTATCAAAGCCAAAGCTTTGTCATGATGATGGACATGAGAAAGGGAGCTAAATCATCATCTTCTGTTCGTGTTAAGTGGCTTTGAGCCTTGACTTACAACACCCATTTTTTCTTTTAAAAAAATAAAATAAAATAAAACCAGACAATTCTTTGAGTACATATATAAGGCTATCATTAAGGCAAGGAAATAAATTGATGCACAAGCAAAATCAAATAATTAAGGCCTCTGTCTTACCTTGCTTTTTTGTTTCCTTTTTTACTGGTCAAAGTCATAGCTCCCCTCTAACCATAATTGGGATCTCAAATGCTTCTACTTAGAATATGTGACACATGATTTCATAATTGGTCATGGCTCCTAGCTAGTTAAATTTCTCGAATAATTAGGCATGCATGGGGCCTTTACTGTTTTTAGAGGCAAATCTATTGTAGGTTCCATACCAGTGATTGAATAGTATTTCTACTTATTACAACTTGTGCACGATCTGCTGCTGCTGTACCTGTATCCAAGTTCATGCTCCACACTTTTCACATTCGAAGCACAGATGTATGATTCACTTCTGTTTGGGTTGACCAAACCTGTTTGACTATTTATAGCTTTAAAATCGGTTTTTATAATCACGAGGATCTATCCAATGGTGGAAAGTTGAAATAGATGCACCAAGACTTGAATTTTGATTTTCATTATTATCATTCTAAAAAAGCAATTAGTCTCTGAGTCTTAAAATATGTTGAAATGATTTCAAGTTTTAAGCTAAACCATGAAACTTATTTAAAGAAAAAATTGGTATACTAAGAATGTTAAAATTATAATTAGTTACCATGCTAGCATCACCTTCACCTTTGTTAAGGTAGGAAATCAAGATAATACTTTTACATGTAGTTAAAAGAGAAACTATGTAGTACATTCTAAATAATAACTTAAGCATGTTTGTGTAGGTGTTTGTTTTGGGAATGGGAATGAATGACCCTGTCTCCAGCTTGTTCATCGATTCCCATTTTCCCATAGTGATTACAGAAATTCATGTTTGAATCGATCCGAGTGAAATACTGCTACTTGTTATAAAAACCATGCCATCACATTCAACTAAAATAAAATAAAATAAAATAAAAAAGGCAAAAGCTTGTAATCTACAAAAGTAGATTTTTCAATATATTTTGTAAGGTTTTTCTTGTCATAAAGTTAAGGGGCCATGCATCCACCAAGGGAGTAAAACAAATGTCCACGACCAAAAGCCATAAGCTTTTCCCCTTTTGTAAAGTGAGTAAAGACAACATCATTCTTTGTAAGAAAAAGATTTCATGTGCTCCTTATTATCATTTTCATGGCTTATTTGTCAAAACCCCCACCACTTTGACCAAATTATTATTTTTTCACTGTTCAGGCTAAAAAATATATTAAAAAATAAAAATAGAAGGCTAGAATCCCGACAGATTTGTTCATTGTTTTGTAAAAATGTACACAGAGATCATATGACCTATGAATCATACAATGAAATTGCTAGAGCCAAAATTAACATTGGTATAACTAGATCGTGCAAAAGAATTATTTCAGAACCTAAAATCTTGTTTAGCATTTGACCATCTTTCTAATATAATTAAGTACTATAGTTTTTTTTTTTTTATATTTCTTTTACAATGTTGATGGTGTAAGATTTATCAACTTTGTCGATAACTATTTACTTTTTCTAGAAAACTAAAGTAATTAATTTTAGTAAAATATCTCTCTTGATAATATGTTTTTTATTCATAAAGTTGGAACTTGAGGTAATTCTAAAAAGATTTTATTTTCATTTTTACTAGAATAAAAAACATGTTGATAAGTTGATTATAATCTTTGTAAATTTGTACTTTGCAGTCGCAAATGAACCTGATTGCTTCTGGTTTAATGGTTAAACCCCAGCTTTGGCACCTTGGTTGATTAATGATTTAGTGGATTCCAACCCCATTTGAAATTTACTCTCGGTAGATATTATTGAAAGTGTGGGGTGGGGCCAAGGCACACGTAGACACGAATAATTCAAATTAAAGCAAGTTCATAATACAAATACAATGACGTTTTCTCTTCTATGAATGCCACATATATTTGGTACATATCCAAAGATAGAAGGCTAAGAATAAATTTTTATAATCACAATTTGAGATAATTATATAATTATTTTTTCTACATATTTCCAAGTTTTAACGAAATATTTTAAAATCAAAGTATATTTTTAGTCTTTTTATTTTTGAATTTGATCATCTTTTTAAAAAAAATTGATCTTTTACCATTTTAATCATGTATTTTGGTTCATCTATTAACTCAATATCAAATACCAGAGAAAAATAAAATATTTTCAATATTTAATAAAAAATTTAATATCATTTTTCATTAATACATTTACATTGATGTGATTATTGACAATTCAGAGATAAATTTAATAAATATTTTATAATAATAACATAATTATAAAATTAAAAAAAAAATACACCAACTCACAAATTTACTACCCAATATACTTCATTAAGGAAGACTCCTTCCTGACCTATTCATGAGCTTGTCCACAATTGTGATCACAGAAGTTAAATAAGAAATAATTTACTGATATATGATTTTATTTTAGATAGATAGGCAATGATATTGAAGTTGAAGAGGTTTCTCTTGTCTCTGAAAAAATGGATACATGCGCCATAATAAGTGATGACAAAGCAACATAAGATAACATGAGATACCTAAGCTTAAGCTAATAAGCTCCATCAAAGGCTCCTCTCTCTTTGGTCCATAGTTTCTTCCCAAGTAAAAAGCATCCAAACACACTCTGCACCATATTTATTTGCAACAAGACACCAACCCCTATGCACATTAATACTCACTCTCCTCATTTTCAGAGCTCACACTTCAAGGTCACTCACACCATCCAATTCAAAAAGGACCACCACTTTCCTTCACCCTTTTTGAATCTCATCCTAAAGAACCTACTTTTGTTTCTTTCTTTACGGGGTTTTGAGCCAATTATTATAGGTTTTTCCATGAGGCTCATGGCTCTGCCTTCTTTCTCAATTCTACTGTTCATTCTGTTATTGTTCACAATCTCCTCTGCTGCTGCTCATGGGCATGCAAAAGCTCAAACCTTTAGAAATCACAATGAGCCTTTGGCAAATCATAGTTCCAAAGGAGGTTCAACAAAGGACAGTGGTGAAGCAGTTCTTGGTGATCAGAAAAGGGTCATCTACACTGGTCCTAATCCTTTGCATAACAGATAAGTCAACACTAGTGTAGTTATTCTATGTTTTTTTTTTTTCTTTTTTGTTTCAACCTCTCTCTGTAATCTGTTTATATATAATTTTATTCTTTTTTTGTGTTGGAGATTCCATGTGGACTAAAGAGAAGATCATGTTAGTGTATATAAATGGAGAGTAATGTTCACTTCATAAATTGATTTTAGAAGGTTGAATTAGATTTTTACCATTTTCTTTACATGTTCTTATCTTGTGAGAGTTTTCATGGCCAAGTTTCTTCTTGTGTATTACTGTCAATAACCATGTGTAAGAATGTTATGTTAGCACTCAGTATCAAATAAAATAATTTTGGCTAATGGTTTCCATGTTCCATAATGGTCTTGGAATGAAGTTAATTTGATTCTGATAGTGAAATGTTTTCCAATAAGAAATCATGTAAAAAAACGACTTTTAATGCAATTATGTAAGAGTTTAATAGTAATAAATTGGAATCTTAGACTAATTACAAATTATTATTGGTATAATATTTTACTTATGTATGATAGTTTAGAGTTTAAAATTTACTATCATATGTATGATAGTTTATAATTCAACGTGAATATAAACCTATGTTATATTATTGTTCTTAAAACTCATATTTATCTAATATTTTTAGAAGTAAAAGTAATTAAAATGTAGCAAAATTTTGTTTATTTATTTATTTTACACTATAGATCGTTATTTATGATAAATGTGTTAACTTTTGAATAAAATAATACTTTAAAAGATATTTAAAATGGTTTTGTTTGTTTACAGCGTAAAAGTGAGAGAGTATCGAAATTAAACTCTTTTAGAAAATTTTCTCTTTATTAATATGATTTCAATTGCATTGAATTTTATTTATTATTATTGAAACTCATTTGTTAGCCTTTTTTTAAATTAAAATAAATAAATAAAAAGTAATT